TTCCCTTTCGGGACCTTTTTCTCTGGGCACTGATCCTTGGGCCGAAGCACTTAGGCCTTTCGGCTTTTTTGTGCTTGGCTCTCTTTCTTTTTCTTTCTCCTCCTCATCCTTGTCGTTATCTGGGCGACTACTGGATGGCTTGAGGTAGTTGCACCTTCGGGCGTCCTTCTGGTTGCCCTGTATCCTTTCGGGGAAGCCGGCGTCTGAGACATAAATCATCAGCTGATGATAAGTTGAGACGACCCCTTGGATCTCGTGAATTATGGGTCTCCCCAAAATCACGTTGTACACTGAAGGAGCGTCGATGACCAAAAACTCAATCATGACGTTCCGGGCTGCCTCATCGCAACCGATGGTGACAGGAAGTGTCACCTTCCCATCTGGATAAGTTGAAGCCCCATTGAACCCGGATACCGGATAGGGTACCGGCGTAAGGTGCTTGGGCTTCAGCTTAATTTGGTTGTAGGCCTTTCGGAACAGAATGTTTGCTCCGCTGCCACCGTCAACAAGGACCTTACTGACGTCGTGGTTGGCCACCGTGGCGATGATCACCAACGGATCCTCGTGAGGGAACGTAATCCCCCGGCAGTCGGCGGCTGTGAACGTCATGTTCGGCACCGGCGACTGGGGAGATTGAATGTCAGCGTTGTTCACCTGGTGAGTCAAAGCTCTAAGGTGACGCTTGTGCTCCCTCCGAGAGTATATTCCTCCCGAGATAACATTGATCGGAGGGAATTTCCCCTCCGGTTTTTTACTGTTTTTCCGGGGGAAATCAAGGTCCTGCCGAGGGTCCTTTGCTAACCTTTCGGATTCTTTTTTCTCGCGGTGATCCGCGATGTATTTTTTCAAGTATCCCTTCCGGACCATGTCTTCTATCTGGTCCTTCAGCTGGATACACTCTTCAGTGTTGTGGCCCGAAGACTCGTGGAACTCACACCACTGATTTTTATTTTTTCGCTGATACCACTCTGGGAGTGGTCTCGGCTTTCGGTAACTCTGCTCCTCCTTCGTCACACTGTAAATTTTGGCGCGTGGAAGAGAGAGCGGAGTGTAGGACTCGTATCTGCCTGTGTATGAGGCAAACCTGTCCTTCTTTAGGTCGCTGGCCGAAGATGGCTCCGAGGCCTTTGATTTTCCCTTTGCCTTATGGCCTTGGCCTTCAGACAAGGGTATTTGCCTCTGTTTCCCTCCCCCGGATTGAGGTTGGGTTTTTGCTTTATTCCATTCTTCGGCTCGGATGAACTTATCCGAAGCACTAAGAGCTTCCTCCAAGGTCTGCGGGGTATGCATGACCATGAAGTCTAGGAATTTTCCTGGCTGAAGGCCATTCTGCATTGCAAAAACAGCTAGCCCCTGGTCCAGCTGAGAGACGCTTGATGACTCGTTACTGAAACGGGTCAGGTAGTCTCGGAGGCTTTCGGTTTCCCCCTGTTGCAGACCCATGAGCTCTGCGGTAGTCTTTTCTCGGCGGTTTGCCGTGGAAAACTTGCTCCTGAACTTGGAGGACAGATCATCCCAACCTGTTATGGAGCCTTGCCTTACTCCCTTGGAGATCCACGCTTGCGCGACCCCCTTGAGAGTGGTTGGGAAATATTTGCACCAAGTTGCCTCGGATCTGGGGCAAAGATGCATATGAGCCTCATACGAGGCCACGTGGTCCTTCGGATCCGTGGTCCCGTCATATGTGATATGCGACGGTATTTTAACCGTGGGTACGCGCTCTTCTAGTATCCATTGCTCGAATGGTGAACTAGCGGGAAGCATAATGGCCTTGCCCTTGTTCCTGGCCGAAGGGACCGCGCTCCGCCCTCTCAGAGAGGTAGGAGTGGTTTTCGTCCCTGGCTGGGAAGTCTGGGCCTCGGCTGCAGGGAACGTGAGGCGACTACGCACGCTCGGTTCCTGGCCGCCGAGTCGGTCAAGGACGCTTCTGCGAGCAGTCTCAGGTTCCCGGCGAGCAGATTCTGGCCGAGAAGCTGAGCTGCTGCTCTTATGCGCTGCTGGTCTTGAGGATGAGGATCCTTTAAATAATTGAGAGTTCTTCTTCCTCTGTTTTTCATTTTTCCAAGAATCCTCCTCCCACTCTTCCAGTTCCCGGAAGGAAGGAAGCTTCCCACCGTCATGGTCTAACTTCCTCCGCTGATGCCGGGTATGCGGAGGAGTTCGATCACGAGGCGGTGGCATATTCTGTGCCCTCATTGCCTCCATGAGTACTGCCAGCGCTCTTGCCACCTCTTCCGAACTGGGCCCCGTCAAAGGGGTCTCCGGCCGAGTGTGGGCATGAGGCCGTGCAGCCGATGGTTGGCTTCGGGAAACTGAATATGTCCTATGATCAGACTGACCCCTGCTAGACCGAGAGTGGTCCGGCCTATATTGAGAGTCATGCATTATAGGAGATAGGGAATCCTCCTTGTGTGATCCTCCCCCCGAGCCGGCACCCTTGGGAGAGTTCCGGTCCGGCGAGGGCGATGGTGTAGGGGTTTTAGGCTTTTCGCCCGCTCCTTGACGGAGGCTTTTGCTCTTGCGGTTCTTAGCCATGGCTGCTAAGACAATTGCAAGATGATCTTGGTTAGGAATTTGGCTTAAAGATTTTTGAAAGTCTTCCCCACAGACGGCGCCAAATTGTTTCGGTTGAAAACAATGGGACCTTGCCGAAGGTCCACTAAAATGGAGAAGACTGGATTCGATCCAAGCTGTGTTGGGCCGAAGGTTTCCTGCACAGTTAACACACGTAAACTAGCCTCGGGGGTGTTTCCGAGGAAGGCCCCTCCGATGCTAAAGTCAGTACAATGTGTAAAAAGGAAGACACTATGCAAGAGAGTTTGTAGCTTGAGGCTTTTGTGGAGTATTTCTCAATGCAAGAATGAGCATATGAATTGCAATAATCGGTGTATGAGATAATGCAAGTGACAATGTGTCTGATCTCGTATGCGATGTTATGAGATGTCTTATGTAAGAATATGACTCTCTCCTTGAATGTGTTAATATGAGGGCTTTTATACCTCATCATATTTGGAGAGGTTGGGCTTTAGCCCAATTGGCTTACTTTGTGGGCTGACTTTTGACTTTTGAGCAATTGGAGAGTTGAACCTTGACCTTGGGCTTTTAATTGGATCATTTAGTGCTCAGGCCCAATTTTGACTAAATTGGACCCAAACAAGATATATAACTAGATTTATCAAAGGAAAAAAAGTGACAAAAGAACAAACCTGTTTACAAACTTTTCTTTTTCCAGAAACGAGATTGCCAACTTCCATAGTTTCGACTTCATTTTCACCATCATAATCTGATGTGGATTCATCATCTCTATCTTCTGACATATTATTATGCCTTGCACTTGGAGTAAATAAGGCTTTCGTTTTTTCTTCAAGTATCTTATTTGCTATCGATCTGGATCCTTGGGCTTTCATCCTTTCTGCATTCGACTTTAATTTTTGAATCCTTTGTAGTTCATAATCTGTAAGCTGACTTTGGGAAGCAGAAACTTTGGGTTTATTCCCTTTCATCTGTAGAAACAATAAATGAAAACGCGTTTAGTTGCCAGAAAAAAAAAAAGATTAATAATATGAAACAAATTGCAATGAAATATAAGCTAGTTATAAAATGTAGTGAATATTTAAAAATGTGGATCAATACCATCCGAAAGCTCTCTAGGAGGGAGTTCCATAGCATAATGCCAACCCTCTCTATTCAAATCTTCTACATAAAACACTTGATGTGCTTGAGATGCCAAGATAAATGGCTCTTCTTTAAAAATGGTCTTATTCATGTTAATCGTAATCAGCCCATCATCATCATCCTTTTCCGAATGAAACCAGACACACTTAAATAAGACAACATTGAAATTACCATGATAAGATATGTCAATGATTTCTGTTATTGCACCATAATAATAAACAATTCCCTCCATAGGATTTTGATCTTTGGAACTCGCAAAGCTATGTGTCATGGCTTTTAGAGTTACTCCGCTGTTTTGAGTGACGCAATTTGCATCACCCAACTAGAGTTTGTTTATCTTTCGAGTTGTAATTTGGGGAATGGCCGGGAAAGTTTGAGTGAATTTTTGTGTATGAGAAAGAGAAGTGAGAAAGAGAAGAGAGAACAGAGAAGTGAGAAGAGAGAAAGAGAAGAGAAGAGTAACATGTTGGGTGACTTGTTCCTCGGGGTTTCAGGTTCGTAGAGGAACTTGAGTTTGAGTCTTTAGTTTGTAATAGGACCATTTGCCCTATTATAGTGAAGATTCTTTTCCTAAAATCCCAAGTGGTCGTGGTTTTTCTCCTTGTTAGGGCCAAGGAGTTTTCCACGTAAAAATCTCTCTTGCATTCTTTAGTTCCTTTAGTTAATCTTTCTGTTCCTTTAGCTTACTTAATCTTAATTCCGCAAAAAGTTTGGCTAAAGTCTCATACTACAATTCAACCCCCTCTTCTTGTAGTATTCATTGAAACAACAATCACAAATATCAATTCCACAATATTTTTCTCTAGATCATTTGATAGTTTAAAAAGTCAATAATTAAGTCATTAAATATTTAATAGTTATAATATGAGGCAATTCAACATGACAGATTGACACTCTTTACCTTCGAGTTTTAATAATAATATCTATATCTATATACTATATATCTATATACTATATATTAAAAGGCAATTGAACTCGGGTCATTAGAGAATAAATAAGAAGGCATACCATCGTTGCTATTTAACACTTTTGTTTATTTATTCTTCTTCAATATACTTAATGTATGGCACGAGTTTTTTTTGTTGCTCAAATTATTTTCTTCAATTAAATAGTAAACCTATAATAAAAGTATTTAAGATTATTTTTTCAAAAAAAAGTATTTAATATTAGTATAATACATAAAAATTATAATATTATGTACAAAGCAGAGAATATTTAACGTATAGACCCGGGGCATCACCCGAGCTATACACTACACTACTATAGTTGATAATTGATATTGATGGAATACAAGATATAGTCAAGAATAGCACGGAGTACCAAAGTTTGCCATTATCCTGAATTCCGATTAGTAAGAATAAAAGTGACGTTATTGGTTAGAGTATCCTTAAATCAACTACTCCAAAGTCAACTACCCCGACAATCCAACTCAGAAGCTAACTATTCTGTCTTTCAAATCAACCACCCTTCATTCTTAAACTACTCCTTCAAATTCCATCAAAATCAAATACTCAAATATGGCGATGCCTTGGAGTATGACGTTCTGGATATCAAAGATGATATGGTTGGCACTTGCTGGTTGGATTTCTTCTTGTTTAATCGTTGCCGATGAAATTGCCAGCTCTATTCGTACTGGTGATATTGGTGCCTTTCATGTCGGTTGATTTCTTCCCTTTTTATAATAATTTTTGGTGAGTTTTTCAATCATACTAAATATTTTCTTCATCAATTTTATGTGTTTTGACTTTTTAAATTTTGGATTTTGATAGTTATGTATTAGCAAAAATTGATTTTTTCTATTTGGGTTTATTTCAATTTGTTTGATTCAATTTGTATTGTTCAATTTGATTGGAGTATTTTGTTCTATGCCGGTTAGAGTAGAGGGCACTTAGGGTTTAAATTTGAAAGTTTGGTAAAAAAAAGAACTTGGAGATGCTATGGAAAGAATTTGTAACTTAGAGGGTGATGTCCATCATGCTCCCGAGTGTAGGATCTAAGCGTTACTTTTCGAATCGGTTATTTGTTTCTTGTTTCGTAGGAGTAACACATAGACAAGGGAATTTTTTTTTTGGTCAAACTATGGTGAGATTGGAGACATGTGATGAGAAGCTAGTTGTATAAGATATAATTAGTGATTTATGCATGAGATTATGGGATTTGTATGAGGATTGTACCTATACTCATAATTGGGAGATCATTTACATTGCTTAAATTATAGGTGTGGATATGTTAGGCTAGAAGAGGCATGTTGTTGCGTTGGTTGGAGTTGGCGTGGTTGGACTAAAGATGAAGTTTCATTGTTTGGTGTAAGAGCTAGCTACAAGTTAGGTCACACTTTGCAAAACCCTGGCCTATGTAGTGAAGGAATTGCCAAGTTGGCAAGTTATGTACCATTAGGCCTTGATCGTATTGGTATGTTGGGATTTCTTCTTTCTCGACTTTTCTGTGTTTTCTATCTATCGGGTTTGAGATTTCAATGGGATTAGCCCGTCAACTGTCAATGAATGGAGCTGTAGAAATTACAGTATAAACTGTGGCTTTTGTAGAGAACTTGTCTAGCCTGGTAAAGGGGAACTTGGGATGTAAACCTCTATTTAGGAGTATTGGAGTACTTTATTTATGATGACAGGGTTTTCATTTTTTAATCAATTATGCAGGTAATATGCTCTATTCTCAGGTAAATAGGGTGTTGGAGTTTGTTTTTTTCTTTAGTATCATGTTCTATTTAGATGAATACATTTTTTTTCATTGTAGAGTCGATGGTCTTTGTTTGAGTTGGATAATATATCGTACCTTCTGTCAAACCTTGTGAGAAACTGAGAGGTCGATACTTGATTATGATAATAATTTCTGTAGGGGGTATATTCATGCTTATTATTCTGGCTATATGGTTGATACTCTGAACCTTGGACTTGCTATACAAGTATGTAAGTATTACATCTCAGCTGATGAGCTATCTTATTTGACAGAATGAAAGAGCATCGTAAGCTGCCAGAATCTGTCTTGGATTCTTGGGTGCTTGGAGGTGATCTCGTGTTATTCTGTATATTCTGTTCCTAGAACTTTGGTCCATAGCAGCAAGAATTGTTTTGAGTACTTCTTGAGCATTAGGATTATCTGGTACTGAGGCCATGTATCGGTGATTCCAGTGGCAGTGACATGCTTCTGCTATCCTTATGTCAGATTGCTAGGATAAAGTAGCATTCCCAACTCCCAAGCCCCCAATGCCCAGGCCAAGTCAAAGGCGAGCCCTGAGGTTGCTGTGGTTTAGGCCAAGCAGCTCATTCTCACTGCTTCCATTTTCAGAGATGCACGTGAGCATATAGGCCTATGAAGCAATTTAGGTTAATTTTTTTTTTTAACTGATACACGAGGTTTCTTATGAGAAGTTCAATGGGCTGCTCAGTCAACTCCGACGTTCTCAAGGCATGGTGCTGCCCTTACTTTGGATGAGATCGTTTCTCTGATATTGTTGTATGGATCATTGTGCAAATATTAGGAAAATATGGAATTAGATGTGGCTATGTTTCATGAAATTTTTGAATGAACATGTAATTTCTGTGTGATCAATGTGTCTAACTTTGTATCTGATTGAGGCATCCTGTAATGTTTTCAGAACATTTTTGCAGGAAGCATTAGTCTTCCACCACATTTGTAATCCCTACAAAGAAAATGAGGATTTTGTATATATATCCGTATTAGAAACGGAGAGGATGCATTTTAAACCACATAAAATCACAATACACCACAAATTCAAAATGCATCGAGGGAGGGAATTTTATTTGAAGTGGTAAGCCTCAAATCGTTGCTCACTTGTAGAAGCTGGTAATACAGGTTTCTGTCAAATACATGATACATTGCATACATACAGTTTACTTGTGTAAATGTAACATCATCTCAATCTTGCTTCTAAATGCTGTCAAGTAAAGATCAAATTACAACACCATGTGTAGTTTAAAGACAAAGTCAACTAAATTTTTATAAGATCAAGCTTCCTTTTCTGATGTGTTTAGCATTCTTAAAGGAGTTAAGCAGGCAACAGAACATGGCATTTGCGCTTATAATTCGGATGGTCCTGCTACATGTTTAGAGCCAAAGTCAGCTAAGTTTTTGTAAGATCAAGCTTCTTTTTGTGCCCTATAATTTTCATAAAACTTTGTGCCCTCCCTACTGTAGCAATTATTACAAAATGGAGGGAGTATCAAACAAGACTGTAGTAAGGTCCCGTTCACTTCACCTTTTTTTTATGAAGTGAAATTATTTTTATTGAAACAAAATTATATTTGCTGAATTTAAATTATTTTTATTGAACTTAAATTAATTTTACTGAACTGAAATTATTTTTGCTGAACTGGAATTATTTTTACTGATTTTCTATTATAATTCTTCTTCAAGATAACTAAATTTTACCGAACTGAACTTATTTTTATCGAACAGAAATTAATTATATTAAACCGAACTTATTTTTACTGAACTGATATTATTTTTACTTAATACTCCCTTCGTTTTTAAATACTTGCTCCATTTCTCCTTGCGCGGAGTTTTAGGAGAAATTGGAGAAAGTAATAAAATATGAAGGTAATGGGGTAGGTGAAAGAATAAAAAAAATGTAAAAAACAGTAGTGGAGAGAATTAGAAGAGAGAGAATATGAAATTAATAAAATATGGTTTATGGTAGGTCCACTAGATAAGAGAAACTAATTAAATATTATTAAAGCTTTTCAAATAAGAAAATGAAACAAGTATTTAAAAACGGCCGAAAAAAAAAGTGGAGCAAGTTTTTTTTTTTTTTTTTTTTTTCTTTTTTTTAAGACAAGTGGAGCAAGTATTTAAAAACAAAGAGAGTATTATTTTTTTAAAGTGAAGTAAACATGGCCTAAAACAGATTTTTGTAGGGGAGTGATATTGGACCCAAAATTTAACCAACCAAGGTGGCTGACAGTCTGCATCAACAAGCATGATGCAATGAAAAGGAGGAGAGCACAATGTTGAATTTGCAAGGGTATGATAGTATGAGTGTATGACAAATGTAGCAATTTAGTCCATATCGTCCACCCCATTTTGTCAAAGTGTTCAGACTAGTCTTTTTTATATGGTTGATTACTTGATTTAATGTCAAAAATACTCCCAATTTATCAGAATTATGTAACTAATCAATCAAATACTCGGGATAGTAATGTCGTAATCTGAGGGGTTCGTTTCATAAAATGTGTCCATATGGAGAACAAAGTTCTTTTGATAACACAAATTGCATAAAGGGCATATTTGTCCATTCAGATCAAAGTAGGAGCGTTAGTATGTAAAATGGGAGCGACAAATAGCAGTTCCTTTATGATAAATAAAGATGGTTTTATACTCCACATAACTAAACTTGTTAAGATTTGAACCACAAAATTTTTGGGGTACGGAAATGTGAGGATTGTTACCATTTAAAAAAAACTAAACTTCAAGCACAACCACCGCCCATCTTCTTCTTCCCCACAACCAACCCAAAACTCAAAACCCCAATGATTGTAATACCAAAGAAACCCAAACCTTCATAATTTTTCTCGATCTCCTCATTTAGAAATGATGATGTTATTGATTTGATTTTGGTCATGGAAAAAAAAAAAACTTGCAAGACTTGGGTGTTTAGTTATATGTGTTTTACATTTATTTGTTCAGTTCCATCTCAAGTACTAGAACTTGACGATCAATTTGTAAGTTAAGTAGAACAAATAAGAAGAATTTCAACCATCCTTAAGCCTTTGTTGTAATGGCAGAAGCAATTCTCATGGCAGTCACAAAGTCTGTTATTGAAAAGCTTGCTTCCTTCACAGCTGATCTTGCATTGACCTCAGCTACAGAAGAGATCAGAAGATCTCAAGACGATGGCGAGTAAACTTTCTGCCATTTGAAGATGCAGAACGGAGGCAGTACACGCTAATGAGTCCATTAAAATTTGGCTAAGGGATCTAAAGGATGTTGTTTATGACATTAATCATCTTATCGATGAAGTTTCGACTTATGCTTTGCAGCGTACTGCCAATGAAGGTAATTTGCTAATTCAGCTGAGGTACTATTTTTCCACTAATCCTGTTATTTTTCGTTTTGAGTTGAGCAACAAAGTAAAAGGACTCCGTAAAAAATTGGATGATATAGTGGCTAAGAAAAATGATTTCGGATTGACTGAGCATCCAGTTGAAATCACACCTGTAGAGCGGAACCCTTTAGAATGTGAATATGTCAGACATTATTGGAAGAGATGAGGCTGGACAGGATGTTGTAAATATATTGTCAGCTATTGGTGGTGCTCGTAATCATCCGTCCGTGCTTCCTATAGTAGGGGAGGGCCTGAATGGTCTTAAAAACCTTCAAATATTAGAGATAGTAGGGGTTCCAAAATTGGTTTCTTTGCCGGATGGTCTCCAATCTGCTGCGACCTCTCTTCTAAGTCTCTCAATCGGATGCTGCATAAGTAGTACTCAGCTTCCTAATTGGCTGCAGGATTTCATACATCTTCGAAGACTTCACATTTACGATTGCCCAAATTTGCTGGCTTTGCCCAAGGGATTTCGACATCTCCATTCTTTAGAGACTTTGAGGATCCGAAATTGCTCCCATCTGACAACTAGATGCGCTAAACCTTATGGAGAAGACTTCTCTAACATACAGCATATCCGCGAATTTTTTCTTGACCATCAACTAGTCACATGACTCCAAACTCTATCTAGCAGGTTTAAATTTCTAACCTTATTTGACTTTAAATACATGCTAAGTGAATTTTTTTTTATTTTCATTGTTTGGGGCTTTCAACTGATTAATTTAGTCTTTTTGCAGATCAGCCTTGGCAGAACTTGAGCTGGAGCTGGATACTGAAATAAGAGTTGAGCTAGTCATAGCTAGTTGCTTGGCCGTGGTATGGTAAATTGCTGAGTCTCATACCATAAGTAGTTGCTTGGTTGTAATTTCTTTTTGCAAGCTCTGTTGTATTTAACGCGAAGTATAGCCAAAAGGCCCTAAACTAACAGAGATAAAATTATGTGGGGTGGTTTGAGATTGTCCAATATGCAGTACCTACTCTTTGCTGAACTAAAATCAGACAATTTTGTACTAACTCAGCTCCTTGGCTTGCTATTGTGAAGTGAAATCTAGTCTTTCTTGCTTGTGCCATTGATGCATCTTTTGGATGCATTTAAAGATTCATTTGTTTCTGTCCGATAACTTTTTGTACATAGGCCTGATAACTTTTTGTAAGTATTACATCTCAGCTGTTGAGATATCATATTTGACAGAATGAAAGAGCATAGTTAGCTGCCAGAATTTGTCTTGGACTCTTGGGTGCTTGGAGGTGATTGTGTGTTACTCTATATTTTGTTCCTAGCACTTCGGTCCGTAGCACAAGAATTGTTTTGAGTACTTCTTGAGCAGTAGGAACTTTGGTACTGGGGCCATGGATCGGTGATTCCAGTGGCAGTGACATGCATCTGCTATCCCTATGTCAGATTGCTAGGTAAAGTAGCATTCCCAACTCCCAAGCCCCCAATGCCCAGGCCAGATCAAAGGCGAGCCCTGAGGTCGCTGTAGCTTAGGTCAAGCAGCTTATTCACAGTGCTTCCAATTTCAGAGATGCACGTGATCATATAGGCCTATGTTATGCACTTTGGGTTAGTTTTGAACTGATACATGAGGTTTCTTATGAGAAATTCAGTATAGTGGGCTACTAAGTTTACTCTGATGTTCTCAAGGCACGGTGCTGCTCTTACTTTCGACGAGAATGTTTCTCTAATATAGTTTTATGGATCATTCTGCATGTATTAGGAAAACATGGAACATAATGTGGCTTGTGTTTCATGAATTTTTTTTAATGAACATGTATTTCTGTGTGATCAATGTGTCTAACTTTGTATCTGATTGAGGCAACCTGCAATATTTTCAGAACATTTTTGCAGGAAGCATCAGTCTTTCCACCTCATTTGTATTTCATACAAAGAAAATGAGGTTTATTTTGTATATATATTCATATTAGAAATGGAGAGGATGCATATTAAACCACATAAATTCACCATACACCACAATGCATCAAGGGAGAGAATTTTCATTTGAAGTTCCTCGAATCATTGCTCACTCGTAGGAGCTGGTAATACAGATTCTGTCACATACATTATACATTGCCATGATTGCATATACATACAGTTTACTTGTAAATTTAACATCAACTCTCCCTTTGCTGCAAAATGCTGTCAAGTAAAGATCAAATTACAATACGATTTGTAGTTTAGAGACAGTCAACTAAGTTTTTGTAAGATCAAGCTTCTTTTTCTGATGTATTCTGTATTAAAGGAGTTCAACAGGCAACAGAACATGGCATTTGCCTTATCATTCGGATGGTCCAGCTACATGTCAGGAAACTTCGGTATCTTGGTTCTCGTCACCCAAGAGGCTGTGTAGAAATGTAAACCACCTTAAGTCCTTAATTATTCTTCAATGACTATTAAATGAACTTATAAATAGTGTATTGTATATGTAAGATCTAGTTTGATTTATCTCAACAAGTATTTCAATAAAATTAAATTTTAAATGACTGGTAATAACTACTCATTGATTGATTGATTGATCGGTAATTACCATTCATTAATGGTTGAATTACTTAGATCTGTGAATTGAAGAGTGCGAAAAAGTAAGTACTATGTATAAATCTATGACCATTTTAGTGAAACGAAAAACTAGTTAAAGTGAAATACTCCATATATGAATAGTGTAAAAATCAAACTGTTGTAACTTGTAAGTATATAAGAGCAAAGCGCTTAAACTTTTCTGAATAATGTAAAAGTCAAACTATGTTGCAAGTATAGTTACAATACTTGTTATCTACTTGAAAAAATTCAATATTTTGAATTGCATAAAACGTCATATGCTAATCCAAAAAAAACCAATTGATAATAATTAATCAATAGAGTACATTACATGTGTTTTTCAAACTTGAAACAGTCAATTTCAAAATGAGGAAAAACTGTAGTATTCAAATCCATATCTCACTTATCTAAATCACCATAAAAAGTCAATAATGTCGTTAATCATGTAAAAGAAGCACGGCAGTTAGTGCAATTTGTACTTTAATTAATTAACTTGTCTTGTTAGAAAACACAACCAAACTTCGAAAACAAGGAATAATTACTTAATTAGATACCTTCAATTATTACTCAATTTAATTTGACACAAGTTTCCGTTTATTTGAAGCAAAATTCCAAATTTCTATATTCATTAATTACTCCAAACTTCCATAATAATCTCATTCATTGTATATTTCCTTTTCAAACTCTCTTTATCTTTCTCTGATACTCCCTTCTCACCTTCCTGACTAATACAAGCAATCCACCTGCCAAAATCCTCTGTCGGCCCTGACTCAAGGTTAAATTAGTCGGAGTCTAATAAAGTCTAAAATCCCGACTCATATAAGAACCTGTTGAAATTCCTTCTCGGGTCCTATCTTGACTCAAATTCAGATTAGTAATACAGAGTAATCCTTGAAACGAAATCCACCCAAAATACTCATAATAATCTATCAAAAGTAACAACTTTTTTTATAAGATACCCAGAAATCTGAAAAACTGAGAGTCAATTCAATCAATTTCAATGGGGTGTTCAGCTTCAAGACTTGATACCCTTCTAGCAAAAGCCATTGAAGATCCTTCATTTTCTCTCTCCTCTCATCACTCGTCGTTTTCTTCTTCTTCAGCAACTGCTGCTACTTCTTCTTCAGCAACTGCTGCTACTTCTTCTTCATCATCATCTTCTTCTTCTACTTCTTCTGTAATTCCAAAACCTCGTTCTCTTTCAACCCCTTTAGTTCATCATCCTGCGATTCGAAAAGGCGATACTCATCACCTTGTTTCTCTCACCTCTACTACTTATGGGTCTCTTATTGTCGTCGACAACAACGCTTCCGCCGTTGACGGCGGCGATTTCTCCGGCCAATCATCGCCGGATTCTGTGATCAACACATGGGAGCTTATGGAAGGGCTTGAGGAAGAGGCGGAAGAAGAGTCTAATCATGAATTTGGTAACGACTTTAAGCTTAAATCTTTGAATTCATGTGATTTTGATGATACCCAGAAAAAACCCACCTTGAGATTAAGCTTAAATTTTACTGATTCTGTGAAAAAATTGAGTGACTCCTATGTGTTTGTTGAAATGCCTCAACCAAAAGTTGAGGAAGGGAAGTTGGATTCTAACCTAAATTCGAAACCCTTGTGGCAACTTTTGTCTGAGGAGTCATTGTTATCTAAAATGGACCCTAATGTTGCTTCTAGCTATCAAAAGGCGCTATCAGCTAAAAATTTGGGGTGTAATACATCTATGAGGATGAATAATCCAGTGGGTTCGAGTCCATTTGCCCCTAAATTTACCAAGAGTGTGGATTCCGGTGCTGTGGTCTCGAATTTATGTGGTGATGATAATGATGTTGGTAAGGTTAAGGTGGGTGGTTTTAAGGACAAGATTGTGCTATATTTTACTAGTGTGAGAGGGATTAGGAAGACTTATGAGGATTGTAGCGCGGTTCGATTGATACTCAGAGGGTGTAGGGTGATGGTGGATGAGAAAGATATTTCTATGGATTTAACTTATAAGAAGGAATTGCAAAGTGCACTTGGTGGAAAAGCATTCAGTTTGCCCCAACTGTTTATTGGAGGGAAGCATATAGGAGGTGCTGATGAGATCAAACAGTTGCATGAAAATGGAGAGTTGGAGAGGCTGTTGGATGGATTTCCTATTCAGGATTGCGGGTTTGCATGTGAGAATTGTGGTGATGCGAGGTTTGTTCCTTGCTCGAATTGTTACGGAAGCCGGAAGGTTTTCCTAGAAGAGGAAGGACGAACAAGTAGGTGCCCTGAATGCAATGAGAACGGGTTAGTTCGTTGTCCAGGCTGTTGCTCATGAATGTACTTTTGTTTCATTCATTCATTTTACTACGAAACTTCATCGGTTTCTTGGTAATAATTAATTCTTCCTGTATGTTTATGCCTAGGTCTGGATCAGTTTAATGTGTCCTTTATTCTTATATATCAATATCTTTTGCCATTGGATGCATCGCCAAATTGTTCATTTTTCTCTTAGGATCTTGGACAAATAAATACTGAACTTGATTGCGTGTATCCAAAATTGGTATAATGTAAAGTTGTAGTGAAGGTTGATGAATTCTCTAAGATGCTCTAATCTTTTATCTGGATCTGTCTGTTTCAATAAGTTTAAAGGCCAAATTTCCATATATTTAAGTGCTTGCTGTTGACTATATGATACCCTGAACCTCCTTGTTCTTAATTTCTTAAATACTTGTTTAAGATTTGCACACAAATAAGGAGTATGCTAGCTGCTGCGCCAACATTATGAAACATCACATTAAGTATGTGAAATAGTAAGTATTTGGTAATGGAGACTGAGGGATTAAGTTAGTTTACCTGGTAAAAGGTTACTTAATTTTTTCTCCGTAATAGGCAGGGAGAGAATAGTTTCTTCTCGTATTAATTTTGTGGTCCTAATCCTGCCTAGAGAGTAGAGATTAATGCTTGATGGGTCACTTCATGCCTGCCTGTTACTCATGATTTCTTACTGTGGACTTTGGTGGTGCATACTAGCATGGCCCGTGGCCCTTGCATTAGTTTTGGTGGTACAGCATATTTGTCAAGCTGAGCATGTAAATTGGGTCATTAATTTTATTTACTACTATTCCTTAACTATACTTGTGCATACTTGGCTGGCTCACTGCTATTCCCCTTTTATTTGGTTTCTACTTTCTATTCTGGTTATTTGAAATGACAAGCGCCAGGCTTGATTTTTAACTGGAAGTCTTATCACAACTGCCTGAAGGCCCTGAACTGCATAATGTGCACATTGCAACAGCAAACTCCATAGATTTGAAAGGCTGGCAACTCATCCCTGATAACACGGGTTGAATTAGCCTTTATACTTTGTATTTTCTAGCATGAAGTGCACTACTATTAGTGCTTGTTAGAAATGATTCCATCTCAGAGATGGCTTAGGAAGATCTGAATCCTGGAAATCTCTTTTATTTTTCTGGTATATACAAAATATTTGGGGGTGTGTGACTAAATAGAGGTAGTTTTAGAAGAAAATACTCTCGGATTGGATGATTTTGCCTGTATATGATATGGGGTCATTGTGACAACAGTGCTTATCATTATTAGCATTTTTTCTCTTTGGTATCAAGTTGTTGAAGCTAATTAAGTTATATCTATTGCATTTGTAAGTTGTAACTATATTTGAAAACCCGCACTTGAAGATCTAGATATCACAATGATGTTGTGATTAAGTTTGAAAGGGTCTGAGATTTTGCCATGAGGGTAGCTGGTAATTATTATGTCTTGCATAGTCATAAGCAAAGGTAGGGTATTTTTCTTGGAAAAAAGGGGCTTATTGTCTAGTTGTCTACTCTTTATTTGATGGGAAGTCAGCCTTATAGTGTGCTTAGAGGCATAACCTTCTCCATTTTGAATTGTGTGGTCCTATTTTTGCCTAAAGATAGATCGCTTTTGCTGATGCATTATCTCATCCGCCTCGTTGAATAGTCGGACAATTAACACGAGATGAAATGTCGGTAGTTCTCATAATGGCATAATCAAAGTCTAACTGCACTTTCTCATTAAGAGAATTTATGACATTTCGCTCCTTGTTAGTTCCATAGCTTTCAAGGAAAATAGAGATTTGCTCTATGCTACAGTTGCGTAGGCCATTATGTTATAGCAACCGTGATACCTGCCTGAGAGCCTGCCTGCCTGGGATGGATTATATTACCATAGCCCTTGGATAAGTCTTGGAGAAGTTTACACTGTGCAATAAGGAATTTTTTCTGTTGATGCAAATAAGAATGTAAATTTTGTATTTACTATTCCTCAACTAGATTTGCTGCATATTTAAGTGCTTTTGTCCTACATTCATCATTTTCGGTGGTTTAAATGAACTTGCTAAAGCTGTAATGCTAGGTATATACTACTATAATATGGAGTAAGAGTTAAAGCGCAAAGTTAGTTTGTAACAACTCTGAACAGCACGCTTGCAGAGCAGGCTGCAAAGGCTTGTGAGGCTAGCAGTTAAAATCCTAATTTGCTGCAAGATTCAAATGGGTTGGGTCTATTTTATCCTGAATATTGTCAGATTGGCATATAATAATTACTTTCTCAGGGCCATATTGGACTGGTGTCACTGGACCAAATGAATGGATGAACCCTACTAGGGAGGGCACTCAAAAGTAAAATATTTGGTGTGACGCGACTACAAAGCTCGTACAGTTCTATTGTACACCCGAGTGTAATTTTTACCCTGATGCGCTCAGCTGCTCATGGGCAAAGAATATAAGAGGGTGTAATATTACATCTCGGTATAGGATAGACATCATGCAACACCCACGCTTCTCGGAATAGCTGTAAGTTGTTTGTAGAAGCAGGTTATTGGTTAGCTTGAAAAGGTTAATAACTTTGCTCACGGGAAGAATAAAAATGGTCCCTAGTTTTTTCATGCGCATGGACACTTGAGTAGTTCTTGGTGATTGTATAGATAGATGGGTGGTGGGGGCAGTAAAATTTTACACTACGACAATACCATCATCCAATTTACAGTGATTTAGATACCTCATACGTGCAAATTTAAGGACAAGGTCAAAACTCAAAAAAGCCGCATAATCAACCTATTCACCACTAAAAAGAAGGGGGAATTTCAAACCATGAAAAGATTATGAAAAGCACAAAACAATCATTATATGACTTCAAACTTTCATAGCTATTCAAACTCATCAATACTTCATAGATTGCAAATTGGGATAATTTACAAACCTCTTTTAAAAAGTAGCATTTACCTGCTCACTTTTTTTTGTGCTTAAGAGGGGAAAGTCTTGAAAATAAAACTAAAATAATCGAGCAGCTAAACATGGTGATATTTATGATGTCCTCTTGGTATAAACTAGAAATTTTCTGTATGAAAAAGTGGAGAAATACGAGCCTTTCCTCTTAAAAAACACCTAAATAAACGGGATAATTTGTGTAAAAAGAGGAGAAGAAAAGTAGAGAATTGGTGTGAATAAGTGGGAAGAATTAAGGGTCTATTTAGAGTGTTGAGGGTGTACAAAGGATAGAGTTTAAGGTGTGATATGATTACTAGAAAATGTGATAAGTTTTTGGGGTTGTTAAGGTACTTGAATCAAATTAAGTCTAGATTAATAGTTGGGTTAAAAGATAAGAAAATTTAAATAGATATACATATGGTTGGGAGAAGAAAAATAGGAACAAAATGAGATAATGAAGAAGGAAATTAGAGGTTAATTTAAAATATAATAATTAACAAACTAAAGTGATAACAATCAATAATAATAAAATAATTGAATAAATTAAATAAATATTTTAGATAATATCAAAATTAATTAAATACATAATGTATATTAAATATTTCTCTTGAAATAGTTAGTAAAGTAAAATATGGACAGACCTTAAAAAGATAATTAAACCTATATTATTAATTTAGAAATTCGAAAATAATTAATTATTCAAATGATTAAATACTTATATTTGGCACCAAAATTCAAATATTATTTTGGACCTAAATAATTAATTTACTAAAATACCCTTTTTATAAAATAATTCTTAATTAATTAATTATAAAATACGTATGAAAATATGGGGTATTACAGGGCCATAGTACTAGTTTAAAAATAAAATCGACATCAAGCTAAGTGGAACATAAATTAAGTTTGCCATTGGAAAAAGGCATGTGTGTATCTCAGTATCTCACTACTCTGATTCTGCAATTGACATTGCCTAGTCCTTACTTATTTTTTGTCAACCAATATTTTCACATTTGATCTAAACATAAATTACACACAAATAAAAAGAATACACAACCACTTTTTTCTTCCTTTTCTCCCTTAAACCTTTTATCTACAACAAAACATGCCAAATACTACGTTAAATTTTCTTACAACTCTCTCTCATTCAATTTAGTCTGCCCGAAAAATTAGAATTGCTAACATTGATTCACTTACCCTCTTTATACTTCAACTTTAAAGATACGACTAGTAGATACAAACAAAACAGTGAAGTACACGCGTGTCTTCTTACGATCTCAAGCCTAATTTATGGACCACTTGATGCCGGTTATAGTAGTACAGTATAGAGTATTTTTTATTACCAACAAGTTGTCTTCGAGCATCATTTTTTTTAGTAACATTAAGGTCAATTGTGCCATGAAGTTTAGATGATTACACAAAGCATAAAATTAATTAAAACCTAAATCAAAGTATACCATTCGATTTTCGTCACTTGACTTTCGCTTCAAACCTTGACTTCCATCCATAGCTACAGTAACTAAACAGTCTAATATCCTACAGTACAGTTCAACACATCAAATTCTCAATGCACCTACTTTCTCAAATACCAAACCAAATTTATCACAAACAGATAAAAACCAACTATAATTTTAACAACATAATTGGAATTATAACAAAAAATAGTTCTAAACAATTGAAATAGTAATAGACATTTAATAAGTACATAAATTATAAACTAGAGCATGAATGAAATGCAATAGGGTAGGCATTCAACATAAATTATGATTCAAAATAATTGAAATAAGTATGAATTCAGGTTAAATTAGGGCAATTATCATCTCAAATTTTTTTTTCAACTTAAGTTGCTTCCTCGCTTTGCATCAACGGTCAAAACGCTAATTTGAGTGATTTCCTTGTTTGATGTGGATTTGGGGCGAGGGGGGGGGGGGGGTACTTCCAAGTCTCTCCCTCACCTTAACAAGCTTTGAGTTAGCCAAACAAGCTCCTAGGGTTAGAGTGTTGGACAAACAAGCTTTGTGTGAGCCAGAAAATGGAAATAAGCTCTTATCGTGGAAATGACAATAATGTCGCCCATATAAGAAACTGAAAAAGACCATCATGCCCTATTGCCCTTTATATATGTGCAAACTTATAAACCAATACTCCGTATTAAAGTAATCACTGGATAAGAGATTTGACATAATTTTGTGAAATATATTTCCTTCAAAATGCTACTTGTAAGTTCTAAGTGCCTATTGATTCGTGTAAGCGCCTCGTTCTGCGTACCATAAAATGTATTGATATGTGCAACTATTTCTTTTGATTTGCCGTGAAAACGAGACACTTACAATAATTTTTTATTAATTCCGTGCTCAATTTGGATTCTTAAGGAATAAATGACCCGTAAAACATTTATGTAACATTTATTGGCACGTAAATCAAAGAAAAAAATTAGACTGGATGACAATCAACAATTTATTAGTACTTTTAAGCTGCAATTTGCAATTTTTTTTAAAGGACTGCAATTGACAAAACTATTATGTAGAGTTGGTTTTCTAACTTCATTCACAACGCTCTAAATCCCTTGCAATTCTAAACTTTTTTTTTAGGATAACCAATAACCACTCCTTTTTACTCATAAGTCATAACTACCCATATTACTCAATTAAAATATATCCCTCTTATTTTTCACCCTTTTTAATGATCATAACTACTCATATCACTCAATTAAAAAAAGTACTCCATCCGTTCCACAATGATATTCCCATTTGAAATCTTTGACTTTTAAAATATCGAGAGAGAATATTCAAAATTTCTCTCAATCTATAAAAACAAATATGGTCACGTGAGATTTAGTTTGATTCGTGTAGGTGAGTACATTATTAATACATGCAGTATCTAAATTTTATAATTTTTGAAATTAAAGATATTTGTGGTTTAAGATAGGTAAAACTTGCATGGAAAACTAAGGGAGTAGCCAAAAAGGCAATAACCTCTCATTAATAACTTTTTTTTTTTTTTACATACATATTACATATATCCCATGCTTGAGCGCGGGCCACGGGCACACGGTAGTTATCCTAATTTAAGGGTAAAGATGCAACTTGATGTACTAATAGTGGTTTTACGGCTTTTACCAGTGTTATCGTTTGTAACCTTTTGATTAACAACATACGAAGTAGGGGTGATCATGGAACGGGTATCTGTTGTTTTGGGTACTTTTTACCCAAGCCACGTGGGCCAACCAGGTAGTAACATGTTTCAGACCTTGATTAGTCCAAATTGGACCAATCTCCATTTGACACGTGTCATCTCCAGAATTTGGGAAAAAGGTGGCCTTCAGGGCCCAAATCTCGAGAAAGTCGTAATTCGACGCAGTCCATCAGAATTAGGTCAGAGTGACCTAATCGGAGGTACATTTACCGATGACCCTATAAATAAGGAGATTCCCCCCATTTCGAGGATATCTACAATTTATTGCATCATACCCTATATTCTCTCACATTAGAGAAAACACCTGATCTCGGAATCCGAGAAGATCTTACCTTTACCTTTCCGCACTTTTTACTTTCTCCAACGCGTTCTAACTTGTTCATCGGAGGCGGAACCCCAATCAACCGGAGTCTTCGTGTTTTGTAGGTAGAGACTGCGCCAGACAGTCTTCAAGCTGTAACTCTCCCGAGGGACAAAAACACCCAAAACACTCATACCGTTAGTACTAATGGTTCTGATGCCTAATAACCAAAGTCCCTTAAAGTGATATCCATAACTTGAACCAATAAATTCGGGTACCCGAATTTCAGGTATTCGGATTTTCGGATCGGTTATCGGGTACCCAATAAGATATTCAATAATGATAATTAACCTGAATTATGTAGTTATTATGATATAGTTTACCACTAAATAACAACAATATCATATGATTTTGACCAAATTATTCATAATATTACAAATCATTTATAGTATAAAGTAATTATGGAGCAAAGTAAGAGTTTAGATTTTAAAAAAATATAGATTTAAGTAGGGGAAAAAAAGGCAAAAAAATGCTTATCAGATCGAATGACTGTTAATTTTAAAACGGTGCTCAATAACCATACCCGATAACAAATTATCGGAACGGATACTCGAACGGTTACGGATCGGTTTTCCGACTAGTTTTGCACAGCCGTTATTACGAAGTACGTAGTACTTTGTTTCTCAAACTGGGGCAGCCTTTCCCTCTTAATCTCAGAGAGTTTTTAATTGCTCATTACTTTCCAGAGTGCTCTCTCTCTCTCTTTCTCTCTCCTAAAACCCCAACTCTCCCACAAAAATTCCCTGTCGACAAATGGAGATCGACGGCGAAATCAACGGCGAGGCAGTAGGACGATGCCTAAGTAGCTTCGTAGACGACGGCACCACCGAAAGCCACCGCTACTACCTTGCTCGAAGAACCACTCTCGAGATGCTCAAAGACAGGGGTTATGCAATCCCCAGTTCCGAAATTGATCAATCTCTTCATGAATTTCGCACTATTTTTGGCCCTATTCCCGACCCTGATCGTCTCCGTATCACCTCCTTTCTCGCCTCCGACCCCTCTAAAACGGTATAACAATATATTCCCTTTTATTCAAAAACCCTTTGGTTTTATTGATTTAAATTTGTCTTTTTTTATGTGTATTTTTGAGTAATTGGGTTTTCAGGTTTCTGGGTTTTGTTTGATCTCTCTTAAAGTTTGTAACTTTGTGTTTGATTATGGATGATATAATAGTATGCGTTCTTTTTCTTGTGATTTTTTGAGTAATTGGGTTTAATGGGGTCTGGGTTTTGTTTGTTTTATCTTAAATTTTGTAACTTTATGAAATGATAGTATGTGTTCTTTTTCTTGTGATTTTTTTTGAGTAATTGGGTTTAATGGGGTCTGGGTTTTGTTCAATTTCTCTTGAATTTGCTAACTTTTTGTTTAATTATGTATGATATTTGTGGCATGACAATTGATTCATGTTGCATTGCTTGCATGTGCCATTTACTGTACTTGGTTAAGCTTGGTGAACAACTTCCTGCTTTATGCCACAATGGATTCCCTCTTTCCCCAAAAACCTTATGATTTTTTGGTGTTATTTTTGAGTAATTGGGTTTAATGGGGTCTGGGTTTTATTGAATTGCAGTTAAATTTGATAAATTTGTGTTTGATTATGTATGAAACTACCTATTTGTGTTTGATTGTTTACTATCTAGTACTTGCTTGACTATTGATTCATGTTGCATTGCTTGCATAGTTGCATGTGTCAAGTATCGTTCTTGGTTGAGGTTGGTGAACCTTCTACTTCGTTTATCTATTTATTTTTAGGAACTTGTGAGGAGATCATAAAGACGTAAAGGGCAGTGATTTAGATGCGAAGGTTCCAAGATTTTTCTTCTTTTTATTGTGTACTTAGGTAATCTGTGAAGTCTGAACTGGGTAGCTTTGTGATTTATTAGCTAAGATTGGTGGTTAATGAATTCAGCTTACTATCTGGTGAAGTTTATTAAAGGTTGTTACCATATCTTTACCTTTTACATTAATTGCCCATGTTAATTAGCACACGTGTATGGATACCGGTGCATATGTGTAGAATGTATGGATGATCGTATGTTGCCTTATACAAAATTTATGTACCAATCTTGTTTAGAAATCGTCTTTGGCTATATGGCTTGAATTATATGGAAAAACTCAACTAATGATCACTAATTCACCATGGATCATTCTTTTTATTGTGTTATTGAAATTGGACGACATAAAATTTGACTTTTGGAACTGTTGAGTCATATCTGGTATTGTAACCTCTGTTGTGAAATCATTTATGACAAATGTTACCTCATCTGTCATTGTATCGCTAATTATGTGCTGTAACAAATAGCTCTACTTTTCCAACCATAATATTTAAGCTCCGATCTTTGAAGATGCTTTGCCAAAATGTCTTGCTGTCTCTGTGCTGATGTGCTCTGAAATGAATTGGCCATTATTAGGTGGAAACACATATACTTCGTATTATGTAGTTATATACCCTTTAGTATCATCAATTATTGATGCGTTTGTTACTGTTGTAATGAATCAAATTGGCGAAGCCCTCACTCTCTGCTATCAGCATTTGTCTGCCTCTGTTAAATAATAACCTGCTTTAATTCCATACAATCTATTTCTAATTTGGTTTTCTTGACTTTGAATGCAGATCATGGTGATTTTCTGTGGGCCTCAGCTGGTCAAAGTGAACTCAATACGTGGCATTGGAGCTCAGATTGTTAACAAAGAAGGTTTGAATGGCTTGATACTGATATTACAAAGTAAAATAACAAGCCAAGCTCAGAAAGCCGTGGATGAATACCCGTTTAAAGTTGAGATATTTCAAGTAAGTTTATTGAGAATCAAAATACTAACTGCTAGATTTCACCTTTTGAGTTTCTTAATGATTCTGGGAGCTCTACATCCTGTTTCGTTGTATATATGTCATAAATGGAAATAGTAATCTAAATCTTTACAATTGTTTTCAGATAACTGATTTGCTCGTGAATATCACAAAGCATGTTTTGAAGCCAAAGCATCAAGTGCTGACTCCTAGAGAGAAAGAGAAGCTCTTGAAGAAATACAATTTGGAAGAAAAGCAGGTAGGTAGCTTATCTATAGTGGATATACTGTGGATCATTACAGTTTGTCATATGCAAGTGCAACAGAACATTTAAGAATATGGATCTTCATGCCATGCCACTATTTGTTTTTTGGACCAAGGATCGTTATAGCCTTTATTACTCTTATCTGTATGTCTGTGCCTAGGATGTTTGGGGCAACTTTGTATGGAATACCAGTGGTATCATAAGGCATGAGAGTTTGGAAAGTTGGAATAGGATAACGGCCCGGCAATATGTTAGTCAACATCTGTATTGAACTCCTTAAAAGTACCTAGAAGCTTCTTTTTGGAAAATTGTTTTTCTTTTGTGTGAAATGATAGGTAGAGGAGGATGGGAAGGGGGTACAAAAGAAAAGAATGGAACTAGAGGAGGTTAAGAGGGAGAGAGAACATGGTATAGAGTAATAGGAATGTTATGTTAATGTACCTAATTTAATGGAGAATTCAGAATAATTCTATAGTATACTTTGGTACGAGTACTTCTAAGGCCACGTAAGGATGTTCGAGGAAGCTGTTGTTTCTAGAAGATTTTGGCTTGACCTCTTAGTTTATCTGTGTTTTTCTTCACCTTTTGATGAAAGTCTTGTCCTGCATCACTTGAGTGATTGATTGCCTGTAATCTTAGTCTCGTGTGTTTTTTGTAATTTAATTTTTTTGTGATCACAAAGCAACTCATTGCATGTTCTTCTACTTGATCCTATGTTTTTTTTTTAATAACATGGAATTTGTCTCCCTTATGTTCCAGCTTCCTCGAATCTCGGCTAAGGATGCAATTGTAAGACATTATGGATATGAGAAGGGGCAGGTACTCAAAGTGACGTACAGTGGAGAGATCACACAATCTCATGTCACTTACCGCTGTGTATCATAAATTCATTTGGTGCAGAGCCAAATCTACTTTCTCTAGTGCTTCTGTTTTTAGGCCTAGTTAGTTTAGCCTTGTAATTTTATGGAACAAATAATGTTCAATGTCGTGGAATATTGTAGACATGAAATTCTTTTCCTGTCGTATTCCTCTTCCTGTTGTGTAACATATGGAATTGATATTTGGTTCTCTGGCCTTACTGTTTTTCAGCCTAATTGGCTTATTAGTTTAGCCTTGTAATTTTATTGAACTATATTGTTCGACGCTCTGGAGTATTATAACATGAATGATTCCATAAATTGAATGCTATTTCTTGCCCCTTATATTTTGCAGTCTACCAATTTTTGTGGAATTGCTTTAAAAATTATGCATCCTACTTAGATTATTGTTACCAACTTAAGTAGTCAAGAACTGAGGTACCTTGCTGATGTAATGACTCAAATGGGCACCTATTGAGTATTCATCTTTGCATGATCTATTTAAGAAAATCAAACCTAAATACTTTCTAAGACACTTGGGTATTTCCGGATTAAGGATATAATTTGTGCATAATTAACCCTCAACATTCATGAGTATGCATTTCTTCTTCTGCTCATTTCCCATTTGTGTGCCCTTCATTTTTGATAATATAAATCTCCTCTCTTTGACCTATAGATATCCAAACACAGCTTCAACTTAAATAGACTTGTGAAGAGGACAGGAAGCAAACCAATATTATAAGACAGGAAGGAGACTAGTATTATAAAGCACATTGTTGTGAGAATAAGAAGAATCCTTGATTATTGATTACAGATTCATATTAATGAAAGATTATGATAATGTGACACTTATCTCCGATGGATATACATCGGTAAAAAAGTTAGGGCCTACTATTTCACATTTATTATAAAAATATCCCACTATCTTCTATCACATCTACTTTTTCAATAAAATAATACCCCACTATCTCTTATCGGATCTACTTTTCTAATAAAAACAATTGAGAATCAAACAACTACTTTTGACCTAAAACTATGCGCCATAATAAGTGTAAAACGGTTTAATACGAGCAAATAGAATATATATCTCTAAAAATCTTGAGCATATTAGAAAATACATAATCTTAGGAAAGATTGACATAGAGAAAGCAGTGCATATGTCTGCTCTGCTGCTTGAGTGCATCCAGCTATGCTGTACCACAGTTCAATGAAAAGTGATGAAACTGCTGTAAGTAGGATGTTCCATCGATCAAGAAGATCACCACATTCGATTTTCTATCACTACAGAGACTATGGCCTTGATTGTATCCTGCCATGAAGCAAAAACCATCATAAAAAATCCTGGTAAATTGATAAAAAAAAAATGCCAAGGGATGACTTGGGATCATACCACAGAATGGTCCTTCAGACCAAGAGAAAGCACCAGTGACATAGACGAGCCAGCAGCACTGAAGAAATCATCGAAGAAAATTGTCAATGCTTACGGGATAAAGTAACCAAAAAAATGAAAAACAGAACAGACAACAGAAAGCTATCAAATGCAATAGCCATCCTTTTTAGATAATTTCACGAGTTTAAATCAAAAGACACATTCACTGTAAGAGTATCAACCCTCTTTAACCTCTCTGCTCAAGCAATTCATTCTTTAGCAGCAACAATGTTCTACTAGACCACTACAATTGAATTCACTTGGAGAAGCCTTATACTTTTCTGTAGCCCTCAAGATTGTTGAAGGGCCTTCTCCTAACTGTAGTAGTTCAGGGACGCCATATCAAAGATTGAGCTTTCCCCTTGCAGCATTAGGGCAGAACTGCAAGAGACAGGTCCTACACAATAGATTTAGCTCTTTAACCTCTGCTCAAGCAAATGTAACATTCTTTATTATTTTCTTTTTTATTGTTGTGCCTAATTTAATCCTCCATACACAATTCTAACTTCACGCAGATTTCATGCCCAGACTATAGTCTGCATAACTTCAATTGTTTATGAGGAACCTTTTTGCCTCTGCAGCAAGTTCTGCATAACCACCAAAGGACTTTTATTTAGCCCAAGTTGGTGGAAATTGGTTCTTCCAAGATGTCTCCACAACCAATTACAACTATTCATGCAAACCAAGGAGCTAAATTGTATCTATTTCCTATCACTTTGCTCCACTCCCCTAACTGGGTAGACAATAAACATTGGAGGAAGGTAGGATCGGACATCACTCTATTGTTATGCTTTGTCCATAGATATTACTTGAAGTTTTCAGGCATAAGGCATAAAGCAGGCCCATGCTTCAATGGATTATTGGAAATTCATCTATGAGGCTAGCTTCTGCTTAGGGAGATTGAACACCGAGAAAATGCACACCAAGTATTCAAAATTTCTAACATATGAAAACAAAGCATCAGTTCAAAGGCTTTTTTCTAAAGATTGAGCAAAGAAAAGTTCACCTTATATTTTCAATCAGCTGGCGAGCACAAGCCGAAAGCAATGGCTGCATAGACAGCATGTTCATTCAATAAATTTACTTACCCATGACAGCTTTTTTCAATTAAGTAAGAAGTTAACAAACCAGTTTAGTAGTTTACCTCATCTCGTTTACCAAATATCACAGACACATTGAATGTAGGTTGAACTGATACACCTTCCTCCTTTCTGGCTTGCAGTAACGTTCCCATACTTCCAAGCTGAGTCACAATTACCTGTTTTCACAGTCTTATTTAAATTACAATTACCTGGTAGATAGAAAATAATACTGAGATGCTTTAAAGATGAAAGTCACTAGATGGAGCGAGATGAGTCCAATACTCACAAGGAAATGATCTTCATAACGACAAATGACCAGATCTGTTTTGATTTTCTGTCAACCAAAATGCAAGCACCCAATCAATAAAAAAAAGTGCCAAAAAAGATTTCAGAATCACTCCAAAAGACCTTTATTTTTCTTTTCCCTTTTTCTTTTTTCTTTTTTTTTTTTTTGGAAAATGACTCAAATTGCATTGCAGTATTGCACAATAACTAAGCATATCATCACGTAACTTAAGCAAGAATAAACATTAATTTCTTATCAAAGAAAATAAAAATAAAAATTGAATGTGTTTCAATATCTCTTTCAGACTATGTTAAGGTGCAAGCAAGTTAAGAACCATGTATGAGCTACAATTAATGTCTCAATGTTTCAAGTTTCCTACAGGTTCGGTTAATTTCATAACAAATGGATGCATTTATAATAAAAAGTACAAAGATATCATATAAATCTCTTTCAAGCACCAGTTAAACATTTTTGAAAACTATAACAGCAAAAGAGAAAACATTTGGTAAGAAAAATAAATGTAACCTATTCACAATTACGGATAGTGTACTGTGAATAAAATAATTATTGATATGAGAGTAAGAAACATGACTCATGCCTTTACGACATTTCTGTAACAAGAATTAAACTGTAGCACAAATCCAAGACAATATCACCTGAACAAAAACACAGCATAGACAACGACGCAAGCATTACATGGCATGAACTTTACAATAATATGGTTCACAATATTTTGGTCATGACCAATACTTTAATAGCTCATTCGATTTTCTTTTTAAATTTTGACAATATAGATTATTCTTGCTGTTGATTTGAGAAAAAGGATTTCTCAAAAGATGCAACTTTATGATGTTTAGCATTGGCATGGGAAGCTTGATTCTTAAATGAACCAGTGGCATCTCATATCTAATTAAGCAACTGAGCACACCACATTATATTCAACCCAACACCTAGCAAAAGCAACACTTTTTGACTAAGAAAGGGAGGGAGAGAGCGAAACCTTGATATCAGTAGTGAGCTTCTTATGGGGTACAGGAAACCCAGCAGGAGAAGTGTCCATAATGAATGCAAGAACGTGTTACTGCAAGAAGGACCTCATTATTCAGAATAGCAAGTAATATAACGAAGGGACAAGTTTCCATCCTGTACTAACCTAAGTACATATCAATTGCACATAATTGAGCAATAGAAAAAATAAATAAAGAAAAAATAAAATCTGCGATACAAGTGGAAGAAAGTACAGGGATAACCAAATTCCAAAAACATAAAGTTAAAGCTATGGAATTAAGTTCCAACTTCATAATCTGTAATGCTTGAAAACCACACTGCATCCCATGATCACTTGACGTTACCTTATGACGAAATCCAATCTTTGAAGGCATTCAAAAGTCACCACAGCATTCGTGTGGTTTTTCCGTAGTATTGATAGTTGGGTATAGCATTGACATATGAAGACATTCATTCTCTCATAACACTATAAACAAATGTTCTCAAAATGGTTCCACTACTACTTCTAATGAAAAAACCGCTCAAGCTTTTCATAACACACGCTCAAATACTCCGTAAGAAACACAACAATCCTTCATAAAAATCTACCGAGCATGATTCCATAATCGGAGGTAAAAAAAACAGGATGCCACACGATTTCGAAAATTAAAACGAAAGCACACAAACAATTACCAATGACTTGAAAGTTGACACAATAACGATCATAGCAAAATTCCACAATTGCAATAAAGTATGCAAAACATTCATAGTGCTCATTCAACAATGACACAATAACATTACTGAATCACCGTGAAAAGGGTTGCAAGATCATCCTTATTAAGTGAATAATTAGTCTGATTACATACTAAGCTTAACAATGGAAACTATCAAGTTCATAATCAAATTGATAATTCATATGATTATTTTGCTAATTCATTCAACTAATTACCAATAAAAAGAAAAACATGAACCCTAATTGAAGCTTAATTAGCAAGTTAAAACTTGAAATTCAATGACAAATCAACCCAGTAGTATTGCAAATTAAATAGTTGAATTAGTTAACTCATTCAAAGAACTCAATTAAACAATTTAATTAAAAAAATGGGAAAGAGAATTACTGTGGCTTAGCAGAAATGGTGGTCAGCTCGTCGACGGTCGACGGGTAGAGGTGGTGCAGAGGACTAGAGGAGAGGCAGCTTTGAACTGTGATTCACGCCTTTTGTTGGGACTTCTTGACAAGCTAAACGACACCCTATTTTACTAGATAACGCTCGTATTTAAACGTAAATAGACAAATATACCCTTATGTGTATTCCATATTTTTCTTCCCTCCAACTCAACCTAACATTTTCTCCTCCCAATAAACCACCACCGATTACCACCAACAGAAGGCAAGGTCATTGATCACCGAAGTTAAAGTCATTTTTTTAAGGATGCCAAATGCTCGATTTTTTCAAAATTCTATAGGAGAAACGCCATAGGAATCTCAAAATTCCGTACAAAATTCAAAATTCCATATCTAGGTGTTTCCCCCTAGTATTTTCCATTTTTTTGCGTTATTTTTGTTTTTATCTTAACTTTGATCCCGAACTCAGATTAAGATAAATAATACTTCATCTGTCTCAATGCGGTGTATATTGTTGGAAAGCTCTGAAAGTCTACTTTTCAACCAAATTAGAATTAGATTAATATCATTTCTAAATCTTAAATAGTACCTTAAGTACTCTCACTTAGCAGGTTTCGAACTTAATAAAGGTCAAAACTGACTATGTGCTTATACAGATTTAGAAATAAATCACTTAAAAATGAATACAAATTTTATACTTAATATATTAATAGCATTATTGACTCGACCAACCAACTCGTAATAGAAAATTATGGACCAAGATCAAGTTGAGCTAAAATTAACCTAACCCCCGACTATATTGACTAGAACTGTCAAATGTGTCATGTCATTCTCGTGCTTGTGTTCAAAGTTAAACGGGTGGGAGGATCTCAACATTAACCTCACCCATCTAATAAAGATATCGTATTATCGTCTGTGTCATAAGTAAAAATGTTTAGTCCCATACTCCCATTCAAAATTTAACAGAGGTAGTAGTTATTCTTAAGTGGGTTAATTTATGTTAATTAAAAATGTCGTGTGACCCATCTCTAATATTGGACATTCATGATTTGTGAGTAGGGGTGTTCATAAATCAATCCGGACCGAAAAAATGGACCGGACCACCTCGGACCGAATTAATCGGTCCAATCTTCGGGTCTTGAAATTCATTTTTCCAATCTTCGGTCTAGTCCGAATTTTAGACCGATTCGGTCCGAATTTGATTTTGGTTATTAAAATTCTAATTTTCGGTCTTCAGTCCAATCTGGATTGGTCCGGTCCGGTCCGGTCTTGGACCAATGAGCAACCCTTTATTGTGAGGCAAAACGATGCATTTTTATGACTCAAAATTCAAATTTCAATCCATTTCCTTTCATCCCACCCAACAACCGTTTTCCGTCTCTCACTTAACATCCCCGCAAACCTCACCGGAAAATCATTCCGGAAAACCGACACACGCAGCATTTATCAACGAATTTTCCCACACTTTCGACTATAATAATCGAAATAATTCAACCCTTTTCCTTGTTTAATTCAGGTATATATTCTTCATTTCATTTAATTACTTAACCCTAAGCTCCAATTTTTCTCAATTAAACTCGATTCACTCCATTTCAAACTCCAATTCTATCAATTGGGCAGCTGAATTGAAACTTTGTTGAATCAGATTTCAACTTAAACCCCAGAAAAATTTCAAAAAAGAAGGAATCAATTTGTACTCCAGTGTGTGATCGTGGGTACTTTCAATTTCCGGTAAAAAAGTTATATTTCTTATATTTTTGGTGAATTTGTGAAGAAAAATGAGTGATTTGGTTTCTGGGTCCGATCCATCGGGCAGCAATGAATCAAAGGGTAGTGGGTTTGATGCTGCACGAATTCAGGAGGTTAAAGCATGGCTTGTTTCTCAATTTGATGCTGTTGGAAAAGATGTGCCCGAATTCGAATACACCCCTCGAAGTATTGCACATTTGCATAATATTGCATCTGTTTCTCAGGCTAAGACTCAGGCTGCTGGCATTGTTGCCAATGATTTGCGACAAAAGGCGGCCGAGTACCGATCTCAAGGTTTTGGCCTTGACCCTTTAACTTGTTTATGATATCTATAAATGGGCATTGTGTTGTAGATTGTATGTTTTGTTTGCAATGTTGAATTTCTTGTTGCTTAGTTTATGTTGGCCTATATTGTATAATGGATACATTGGATTGGTTTTTGTGATTGGTTTCTTGTGCTTGAATGTTGAATTGTTTAGTGGTGATGTTTGCGGGAGTTTAGATTTTCGAGTATGTGGTTTTGAGTGTGTAGTTGGAAAACTGAGACAGTGGCTAGCCAAAGTAAGTTAGAATAAGAAAATTGCCTAAGTTGGTTTTGATTTCTTTTTCTGATGATTATGATGGGTGTTTTGGATTGCTTAGCTGCAAGGATTAGGGAGTTATTGGAGAATGTGGGTTTGGCTCAAGAGAGTTTGCCATCCAGCATAGTGGGCTCGGCGCAAGTTTTGGCGAGTGTTGCCAACTTGTTGAACATAAGAGACACCGAGTTGAGCAGGTGAGTGTTGCTTGACACAATGTTTATGTTTTTTTACTACGGTTTGGTTTTTTGTACTTGATTTCTAGAGAATTTACAAGAATGAATATGCTTCTAGTTTCCTTGTGTCGATGGGGGATCTTTCGCTCAGAAAGTGTGGTGTAGAGGAGAAGAGGGCAAAGGTACAAAAGGAATCTAAGGTGCTCCTTGATTATACACGAAAGGCTATAGCAAGGCTAACTTACTTGAAAAGGTATGCTGTCAGTGAGATTCGTCAAAAACGTTTGTCCTTTGTAGAGCAGTTGTTTATGTTATGTTTGGTAAATCCCTGGTGGTTACCTTGATAGCTTTTTGAGGACATTTTTGTTTAGAAGTTTGACTAGTTTCGTTTTTTCGGCTTGAACTAATGGCTGTAGCTGCTTTGCATATTTTAAGAATACTTGCTCAATTGGAAGATGAAGTAGCTCCTTGTGAGGCTCAAATTGAAAACTGGAAGACAAACTTGCCACTCCTGGTTTCAAAAGAGCGTGAATACAATCAGAGATATTCCAACTACAAGGTAGTGTACATTACTTGCTGACTTTGAAATTTAAAACTATTGCTTACTATCATTTGATTGGGAAATAGAATGGTATTGCTGGTCTTTCTTAAAGCTTCTTTTTATATTTGCATACTCGTGATTGAGAAATAGGAATGCTTCATTTATCTTCATATGTGACATCCATTCAAATATTATGGATTGCTGGTTCAATATACAGTGCTGTGTGAGTCTTTGAGGCTACTTTGTAATTTGTGATCTTTGTGATGTTTTTGCTTCTTTTTCTCTGTGAAATCTGTAGCAGGAGGCTTAAGCTGTATACTGCTTGTATGTGTTGATCATTTTGGCTTTACACACTTATGTTGGAATCTCCATGTTTCCTAGGAGAAGATACATATGATATTTGTTGTTTTTATGCTAAAACTTGACAATTCACAGCGGGTCTTAATCACTAGGCTATATTAGCTGTTTGAGCAACTGATCATGTAATAGTATTGAAATTATGGATCAGATGAGTGTTCAGATCAGAAAATAGGATGAACATTATGGATTGATTTCTCCATCTTGTTACAGTATACTGTACTTATCTTGAACCAGCAAAATCTTGACACTTTATTTGCTTGCTAGATTGTTTTCCCATTTACTCTATAAATAAGACAATAGAATGATGAAAATTTTGTTTTGGAATATTTAAAAATTACGGCGCCTTTTCTTTTATGAAAAACTTTTAAGAGTATCAAAGAAAGATTTTGCTGCCTTTCCTTCATTTCACTGGGCTGATTAAGGTGTTTTTCTCCCCTTGTATGAGCAGGCACTTCTGAATCGCGTGGGTTATGCCCCTGAAATCAGCCATGGGGTATTGGTAGAAATGGCGGAACACAGGAAAGAGATGGAGAAGAAAACTAAACCTATTCTCGATACTTTGAGAAGTTACCAAGATTTGCCTCCTGTAATAAATCTGAATTCTTTTACTTGCCACCACAGTTGATTTTTCATTTTTGATGTTCTCAGCTTGTTTTTCTCATTATTTTTCCCCTTTACCTTTCTAGGACAAAGCATTGGCTTCACTGGCAATTGAAGACAAGAGAAGACAGTTTGCGGCCGCAGAGAAGTACCTTGAGGAGGTGTTGCAGTCTGCGCTTTCAACAACAGATTAGCTTCATATCTAACATTTTATCGTGTTTAGAGTGAGATCAAGTTTGTCACTTTGAGAAGATGTCAACGCCTAGCTTGTCGATTGGCACTGTACTTGAAGCCACAACACCTGGTGCACCCACTCAAATCTCAACCAATAGTTTTGAAAATCAATCTTGTTCACACATTTCTGTATAGTGCTCTTAATATTTAGGGGTGGTGTAAGCGTCGTTGTGTACTCTATGCCGCTGTGTTTTGGCGGTTGTGATGAGTTATTTAGATGTTACGTGACTAGCCTGACCGCTATATGTCATAGTAGTGAGTAATTAGCCTTGAAAATATCATGCCTAAGTATTATAATTGTAGTAACTTCATGGACCAATGTGCAAATTGAAGGTTTGTTGATCGCTAATTGCTTACTTTATGTATGATGATCGATTATGGTGACACTCTAAGTATTATCTGTCCAACTAATTTTTTTTTTTTTTTTTTGAAAGATTCTATCAAACTAAATAAAGCAAAGGTTTTACTAAAAAAAAAAATTAACAAAAAAATAAAAAATAAAAAATAAAATTAGTACTTATCTCTTCTCTCATTCATTGTTCTCTATTTCCCACTCCTTAAACAATCTTGTTATAAGTTTACTTCAAAAATTTTAAACAATTTATTCTAACATCGGAAATAAGTTTGGTTTGAAACCTAATTTCAAATGGGGGAGGGGATTTGAACTTATAACCTATTGTACTCAAACTCTCAATCTTTGCCACTAAGTTAAGATTTCATCGGTTATTGTGGTATGTGAGAACTTTTTAGTTTGTCATAGCTCGCTAACTATTATCAAATAACATTCATTAGTTTTTAGTACAACCGATGAAACTCTTCACAAAAGTTAGTTAAGATTATTTCAGTACAACCGTTTCCTAACAGAATCAGCTTATATTAACATCACCCATTTCAGTTTAGTTTGTTTTAACACTGTTAATTTCTTCATTTTCAAGAAACCTGAGTTTATTGAGAGACTTCAAACTTCAGAGTTTCTACTAATTCTGTTTTCATTCATCGGTTAGTCTTTTCATTTTGTAACTTCAACTTCAATCATATAATAAAATTTAAACCCATAATTCGATTGAATTATTCTGTTTGCATGCAAGATTGTTCTACTTCTTGTATTATTTCATTACAAACATTATATTGTGGTAATTTCCTGATTATTTCGTACTATATTCCATGCTTCGTTTCTTTTACTGATTTCATGCATCATTTCTGGTATATAAACTATGGATGATGAACTTGGTTTTTTTTAGTGTAATTTTCTTGGAGAAAAACTTGCATTTTGTGGGATTTCTGCTGAATGTGTGATAATCACGTACTAAACTGAAATACATTTTAAATTCCTCTGTTTTAATCAGGTTTATGAGTCGAAATTCGCGGTAATTGAGATACCCAGTTTTGGATAATCCTAGATAGTTGTTTCATTCGAGGGCAGAAATCATTACCATACTTTTTTTTTGGCAGGAATTTAGATTACTTGCTTCTGGAAATATTCAGTTTAGGTACAAAAATGGGAACAGAGGATGAGAATAATCACAAGAAGGAGACAGCTCAGCCACTAGACGAAATCGACATCGATTTCTTGAAAAAATATGTAAGACAGTTTAACCCTTCTCATTCTTGATTATATAAGGATTGATTGATTAAAATGGTTGACGAAATAAAATATTATGCTTGTTTAAATGATAATTTTTTTTTTTCTGAAACTTAAAGTTTGATAATATATGCAGGGAAATGGACCTTACTCTTCCGACATTGATGAATTGGAAAAGGATATAAAGAAATATGCTAGGAGGGTTAAGAAATTATGTGGTACGGAAAAAATGCGACTTAATATTATGCTTCGTATGATTTAATAAGTTAGTATGTGGTACTTGATAATGTGTCTTGTTCTTTGCATGATTTGCTTATCTCTAATGGTTCTATGAATATAATTAAGTTGCCTTTCAGCAATTAACTTTAGCTCGATCTGTTGTTATTGACATGATCATGTATTATGTTTGGGGACAAGCACGCAATGATATACATGTACACACGATTGGTATATATATAATCAAGTATCAATTGTCGATGCTCAAATGGCATGTCGGAGTGTTGAGGATCTTGACACAGATAAATGAGTCTTGAAGAGAAGGGAAGGGTCCGAGTTTGATGAGAAGGGAAGAGTTCAAGTATGATAAGGAAAAAGGTGTTAGAAATATGAGATTCTGATTTTGTTCTGTATTTGATGTTCCTGTTTCATTTGTCAGGGTTACATCTTACAAGTGATGTAGGTCATTTATTTGGCATAAACTCTAAACATTTTTTTTTGCTTTTTTAGTGAAATATTGCATATTATTTGTAGATATTGAATTATGATTTAAGTTTTGGATTGAGCTAATTAATCTTCTTATATGACAGGAGTCGAGGATTCTGACACAGGACTATCAGCTCGTAGCAAATGGAATCTCAAATCGGATATACTAATGATGAAGACAGAAGAAACTCTCCGTGTAATAATTTTACCTTAATTCTCTTCTGTCCTGAATAATAGTCTCCAAATTTCTTAATAGTTGTGGACTTATGGTGACTGATGTACGTTCAGGTTGCGTACTGCACCAGCATAATGAACCCTAACACCGAACAAGCTAAATATGTGGTTAGACTGTCAGGAAAATTAAGGGTAATTGATGCTTCCTTTTTCCTCATGTTTCCCACAAACTCCTCTTTTTACTGATTTCTCAGCTCCCTAGCAGGCTTCTTTGGTGAATATTAGAGCATTTGGCTTCTATGTTACATGTAACAGTAGGTAGTAGACTAGCATCAAGGCTTAGCTGTTTTACTTGTGGCACTGTAGGATTGACTATGTGGTTAAGACTCACTAACGGTTTTTGTTTTTGCATAATCGTATGTTTATAAATTATAAATAGAGAAGAAAAGTGGGAATACATCTGCCTTCGACTTTTCTTACACCATTTTCATATAATAAATTATCACAGGCTATGATTATTGTTGGGCTTGATGATGGAGTTTCTCCAACTGATATAGAACAAGGCACGCGTGTTGGGTATGTTGTTGATGCTCTTTGATATTTTTGTGTGTTCATTTCCTTGATGTAACTTACTGTCACTAATGTGAACGTATTACTTTGATTTGGTGCTAGTGCAAGCTAGTACACCATAACTCAGCTAACAATTCCATGTTGGCTATATAGCTAACATATGTGTCTGTAGTCTGAACTATATTACTCGCTTTCTGATCGTTATTGCAGAATTCTGCACTGTCACATGGATAAACTAAGGCTTGTTTGGCTGTAGGTTGAGTGTTTTCAAACTATGAGTTTAAGCTCTTTGTCTCAAACTATAATTCCTATTAACTTTCTACTGATTTTTGAATTTTGGAATAAATTGAGAGTTACTACTTATATATATATGGATAGTACTGTCTGTTAAATAGTTACAAGTTCACCTTCTACTCTCGCCTTACTACAATGCATCCTTCACTCTGTGTCTGACATGATCACAGAAACTATACCAACTAAAAATCCATCTTAGACACATAAACTCACTGGTAAGTTGGTGTGCTTATTTTAACAGGATTACTCTCAAGAAGCCCAAGATACAGATATCCTTACCTCCTAAAATTCATCCCGATGCATCTTTGTTGACAGTGAAGGAGAAGCCTGATGTAACATACAATGATATTGGTGGCTACAAAGAACAGATACGAATGGTCCGAGAAGTAAGTTTTTTTCAATAAAAGTTTGCTCAAATTTTCTAAATGAAAATGATGTAAGAAAATCTACTCGCTTTCTCTTTTAGTAATTCTTAAGCTATGTGTCTGTTTGCAGGTTGTTGAATTACCCATGATTCACCCAGAAAAATTTGTCGCTCTAGGGGTTGATCCTCCTAAAGGAATCTTGTTTTATGGTCCTCCTGGGACAGGGAAAACACTGATAGCCAGAGCTGTGGCTAACAGAACTGATGCTTGCTTCATTCGTGTTAATGGAACTCAGCTTCTCTACAGGACAATGGGTAAGGGTGCTGCAATGGTTCGTCATATATTTAAGGTATGCACTATGCTAAGAACAAAAAAAATTTAATACCACTGTGTTCTCTTCTTGTTCAGTTGCTTTATTGCTAAATTATACACATGCATTGTTACAGATGGCTAAGTCAAAATTGGCCTGCATACTTTTCTTTGATGAAATTGATGCCGTAGGAGGTGCACGTTCTTTTGATGTTGCTCGTGGTGACAATGAGGTACAACATACCATGATGGAAATAGCAAATCAGCTTGATGGATTTGATTCTCGTGGAAACATCAAAGTTGTTATGGCCACAAACAGGTTAATATGCTCCTAATGAGTAATTTTAGGACTTAGGCTTTATTGTTGTTGAGTACGTATCTCACCATGCTCTTTCGATATTTTCCAGACCTGATACTCTTGACCCTGCCCTCCTGCGCCCTGGAAGAATAGATCGGAAGGTTGAGTTTGGTCTTCCTGATTTAGAGGGTAGGACTCAAATATTCAAGATTCAAGCCAAGAACATGAGTTGTGAAAGGGGCATTCGTTTTGAACTTCTTGCTCGCTTGTGTCCCAACTGCACAGGTGACTTAGTTTGCCCCCCTATTCTTAAGTGTATGTAAAACAACATGGAAAGATATATCACACACATGAAATTATAGTTATTGTGACTGTTTAATTCATAGACCCGGAGAGGACAGAAGTAGGTCTGTAGGTTTGCTCGCTTTCTCCTTAACAGAACATAATTTATACTGTATGCAATTTCTTCACTTCCTGAAGGTGGCCTAAATTGTTGAGAGAACGAGTTTAAAGCTAATTATTTCACTTCAGAAAATAAAACTTCAAAAGATTTTTCTCTTTATTTTTGAACATTACATGAATACATATTTGATTAAATGCAACCTGTTGTTACAGGTGCTGACATAAGAAGTGTGTGCACTGAAGCTGGAGTATTTGCCATCCGGGCTCGAAGGAAGTTTGTGAAAGAGAAAGATTTCCTTGATGCAATTAACAAAGTCATCAACGAATACCAGAAGTTTAGTGCAACCCCAAAGTATATGATATACAACTGAAACAGTTGATTTTTTTCAAGAAACCAAATAGCAAACCCCTGAAAACCAGTAAACCGAAACTGACTATTTTAACTGTGAGTTGTGACATGTTTGGCAATGTTAATTGTAGAGATTTGTATTTTGAATTAAGCATTTAGGCTTTATCTTCTGTTTAGGCAATCATAAGCTAGTGAGTTTGGATATGAAAACAGCTTGAATTTTATATCATTCATTGTGCTTCAGCTCTTAATATACACATTAGATTTAGTATGAAAACCTGATGGAAAACTGTCACTGGCTGTGGAGGGCTTAAGGATTCCGAATCACTTGAAAAAATCAGTTCTGATTGCCATCCGCAGACATGCTGAGACAGGATCTGTAGCAACTGCACTGCAAGGTCTGCAACGATAAATGAGAGGGATTTAAGGACTACTAAACACATTAGGCCCTAAATAGGCGCAAAACTATACATATATTCTACTCCGTAAGAGAAAAATGAGCATTACTCAAAGAATTGATGTATAACCTCTCCTAAATACGAATGCATAAGTGATCTGGAAGTTGTAATAGGGACGGATGGAGTATTTATTAGTTGTTTACAAGCTTATTGTTTCAGCTTATTCAATTAGTTGATTGCATTACTATTTTGCATAAAGGAAGTTTAGTAAATAAGTTTATACACCATTACCAGTTTCCTCATACCCAAAGAAGAACTGGAGGAAGGAAGAGAGGAATGTAGGAGGATAATTGTTTTCATTTCGATATTAGCCTGAATTTTGTACATGCAATCAAGAAATTTTGATATTAGTCTCCTATATATGATATGATACTTCCTTCTTGCGTAAAAAAAAAGCAATCAAGATGATGCCATTTTCTTATTTGTCTAGCCATTTTACATGAGCTACTTGACTAGCTGTATACGAGCAAATCGACAAATTTACACCAAAAGTATCTACTAGGGTCACAATAAATAGATACGATTTCATATGTTTTTTTTTATAGGTATGACCGTATGATGAAGGGTCTTAACAGGCTGAAACTCCTCATAAGTCAACCCGGCCTGAGTAAGTTTTATTTTTTTACTCGCAAAACAACAGTATGGTTAATCAACCTCTATTGCGGTTCCAAACCATTTTTAATTTAGGCCCGCTAAAATATAGCCTAACGGCAAAGCAGGCGGTTGGCTGCTTTGTTAACCACCGTTGTGATTTCTTCTCCACTCTACTGATCATTTGTCTTCTATTTTTCAGCAAAACCCTAGAAAAATTTCTAATTTTTGCAAAGTTAATCTATTAATCAACACTCAAGTTCTAGGAGCTTTGGTTTACTGCACCATTCGCAAAAATAAAGGTCCTTTTTTTTTTTTCTCTTTCTTTGTCATTTTCTTATTTTTGTGAAATTAATTTCATATATATCCGAATATATAGTCTAATTTTTTTTTTTTACAAATGCAATTGGGGTTTATAAATGGAGAAATACCCACAAAGTATTATAGCCAATAATTTTAAAAATGGTGGTATTTGGTTATTATTATTGCTAATTTGCTATTAACAATTGAAGGAAGAAACTTCTAGGAGGGGTCATTGCAAAGTCCTGCTTGATTCATGTTTTGAAGGCTGCCTTGTTATCTTTGTAATTGAAATTATGATTAGAATTCTCGTGATCGAGTGTATTATTGTTAGCATTCATAGCTGTTAGGCTGTTAGCTACTGTTTGTCCCTTAATTTTGTACAATGAACCCACTTTTTGTGAGTGTTTTTGGGTCAAATGGTGCAAAAAATAAGGGACGGAGGGATTATGTTGCTGCTTGGGAGTAGGATTTAGAAGAATGCATCATGCTTTTTTGATTTCTTAGCTATATGTTGCTTCGGGGTAGGGTTTAGTAGATTTCATCTCACAAGGGTGCTGAATTATTCAGTGATTTTCAACTTAGGCCATGGGAAAATATGAATGTCTTAGTGCTAAAATTTGTGAGAAATTGGAAGAGTTAAGTGAACAGGAGAATAGTAGGGATGAATTTTCATCTTACTCTATGCGAGTGGCCTAGAGGTGTACCAAGGTGCATTCCTATAGTAGTAGGCTAGTAGCACACGGTTGATTATTCCCATAGATACAGATATTGCATAGGTGCTTGATAGGAGTGAGCTAGAGATATAGCATCTAAGCAATGATTTTACTGGCAAATATTAGTGACTAATACCCTACTAAACTATGTAATGATGTCTAGGAGGCCGATAAATCTCTTGCTGTCATTTTCTGTTCTTTGTTTTTTGCTGAAAGGGATAAAATAAATTTCGCTAAATGTTTACAGTTTGGACCATGTAATTGCTTTGATAATTTTTTTGTATTTGACAAATGTTCTTTCAAGTGATGATCCCATATTAAGGAAGTGGAGTGTTACTAAGATGAGAATAGAAGGTTTTACTTGATTAACTTCCATCTTTCTAAGAGTCCAAATCACATTAGGCTTATAAGATATCTTAGAAGTTCCAGGAAAGAGAAGTAATGCACATAAGTGATACTTCTCATTTGTTTCTTTGAGAATGAGAAAGTTTGTGTCAAGTCTGACCATTATACGATCTGAATATCTACCCCTTTGCCTAGACATGCTCAAGAAGTGAATAAATATGTTAGTTTGGAAAATTAAAATTAGTATACCTGGCAAATATATCCAAAGGATTACATTGACCTTTCTGTTTGAGGGCTACTAGTGACTAGTACAAAACTACAGATAGAACACTCACATATATTCTAAGGTATAGGTTAAAGTCTTTCCCCTTTTTCATACGAGTAGGAACATGAAACTGGGGATGAGACCTGTTGTATAATGTTGATATCTAAAGATTTTCCGATCATCATCTTGGTGCGGCATATTGAAAAGCATTCATGACTTGCATTGTCTTTAATGCCACTTGAGCACTAGTTTTAGTTTCCACATGACCCTAGTTGCATTAAAAAAAAGTTAAAAAGTTTGTTGTCATGGTAATAAAATTACTTGAATGATTAGATGTTTCAAAGCAAGTTATATCTTACGTTGATATTTCTGTGTCAAGTGTAAATGTTGTTTTGAAAACAAATGTAGGGACTTGGGGGGTAAGATTTTTCTATTGCGATTGAGTTACACCAAGTATCAATATTAAGTCTTTTTCTCTTTGCAGCAAAATTAGAAATTTTCATGGTGTATTCAAGATATGTGGCGTATGGTTTATGTGGATAGTATTTTGGTAGATGGATGACACTTGAGCTTTGGTGCATAGAACATTGGTGTTAAAAGTCAAGAGTATTATCAATTTCATGGAGTGCTAATCTAGCACTAAGGAGTCAAATGAGAATGTAGTAACATTAGATAGTTAAGAGCTGCACAAAAGTGAGTATTTTAAGTCCCTTGATGTCACTTAAATTTGTTGGCTCAAATGGAGAGCATAAAAATTTTATTGGTTGTTACCTACAAATCTACAATTAAGGTTAAAGGAGAAATCATATTGGACTGAACATATTAGAAAGTGGTGTTGCTTACCAGCAAACTTTGTATTTTGAGGTGGATGTGCAGGAGCAATTTAGGGGTTGAATTTAGAATAAATATATTTGATATATGGTTTGATTTGCATTGAAGATAGTATAGGAGAGAATTGGTTTGATTTGAATATATTTGGGCATATGAGATGTTGATCAATAGATGCACCATTAAGAATTTTGAAGAATTGTAAGTATAAGGATCTTTGAAAAGCTAATGGCATTGGGAATGACATGAATATATTGGGGTTGCAGAAGCATATATCACTCAATAGAATTGAATGAAGGGAGAAGATCTTTGTTGTCTACTATTGGAGATAAAATCTTTGTTTCATTTAGTCGACCCTATCCTATTGAGGTCAGAGCTTTGACATTGTAGTTGGAAGTGTACATACAGTTCCGTTATTGTGCTAATGGAACAATTTCTGATTTTTTGAAGTTAAAACATTTTACATGGTGGCTATATAGCTTAATACAGGTTTAGTTATATATGGAAGGTGGGGCAAGTTGTCCTATAGTTTTTGCAATTGCCCAACTTACTAGCTAGAATCATGCTTCTAGACAAGGAAAGATTTTCAAGGAGATGCAGCTCCTCTGACATTGTGACTGTTGCGCGATCACTTATATTCTCCATGTTTGGAAGTGTAATGCAGATCCTTAGTGTGCTACTGGAACAATCTTAGTGATCCTTAGTTTGTCATCGTGGTTGTAATCTGTGGATGTATCATGCTTTTTAACCATCATGGCTTTTACTGCTTGATTTTATTGGTGACGTTTACGTTTTAACTAAAGCATGAATGCTTCATCTCAACATCTGATTCCATACCTCAGACACTGGCCTTGTTGACATCAGGATAGTGGAATGGGTTAGTGTTGGCTGTAGTATGAATTTTGGATATTCCTTGTTATATGGACATTTGAATGGAAAGATAATTTAGTACTAATTGTAGGAGAAGATAATAGCAGATCAGGCCATTTGCATATGATGCCTACATTGTGTATCCGAAGAAGAAGCTGGAGTAGATGCATCATTGCATAATGAACTCACGAGTTATGATGGTAAGTTTTGTCATTCAAAATAAAGTTGCAAAATCTTATTGGCTTGGGAGGTTCACATCTATGTTTTAAGCCCATTTTTTGGTGTTATGTGATTTACGAAGTGCTAAGTCTTATTATTTCTGTTTGTTCGTCAAAATTGAGGAACTGAGATGACTATTTGTTGTCAATTACCTTTTCTCAAATGACTGTTCAGGCTGTAGTAGCAATATTGACATTGATTCTGGACTGTTCTTTATTGCCTACTTGCCTAGATTAGGGTGACGGGGTGACGGTATTGTTGCCAGTTTCACAGCCTTTTTTTTTTGTTTTTTGCAAACAATGAATAAGCTGAATGAGTAATAGTCTTTCAACTCTTCTAGATGTTCTGTTCTGAACAAATTTACTCCACAGTATGTCAGTATTACATGACAAAATTATTTTCTCTTGTCAAATTTCTCTGTCAAGGAATTTAAGATAGATGAGAAAGTCTGAGATGGCCAGTTATCTTTTGCTCAGTTGTTAAGTTAGAAGCAGACTGCTTTGACGGAGGAGCACTTTGAGCCTATCAGGGATGATAGATGAGTTTGAGCGATGGTGCTACACCCTCAGATTCTGAGGATGAAAGCAGACTGGTTTTGATATTGCAGGCTGGTGAGTTAATACTTAATGTATGTTATCATTACAGTAAACATAATCTAAGAACTAAATAGCTTCAAAACTTTTATGCATTTATTAGTTCTGCCATTTGTCAAATTATTTTAGGTTGTATGAAGGATGAAAAGTTAGCAAAGGCGTTTCTTTTGCAGCTTCTCACTTGTCAATGAGGACACTTCTCCTTTAGGAGAGAGATCGAGTGGCTGCTTTGCTGGCCGAGCTAATATCATCATGTCTGCTTAATTAAGGCTAAACCGGGAGGGTTGATAACACAGAGTCGTCTATCTATATATTATATTAAAAGACAAGCGCCTCAATGTGAGGATGGCAAATGTCACTCTCTCATTGACTTATCTTAAGTATAAAATATATCTATATAATTACTGTTTACATATTCAAGCATAGTTATTTTTGTTAAACTTCAAACAATAAAAGCAAGTTTCTATACATGTATAACATTTTCATGATTTCCTAACATAAATATTGATTTAATTTTTTTATGATAAATATATACTTTCCAATACTACAAATAATCCATAAAGTCTTTCCAATCTTTATTTATAGTCAAGTTAAAGAATAATATTGTAACTAATTTGAAGCAATATTAAAGTGACATAATTAAGGAAACAAATATTTCGTATTTTAAAAGGCTAATATTGTTTTTTTTTATATGAAAATTAAATAAAATCTATAGAATTTAATTTGACGTCAATTATGAAATCAATACAAACATTTAAAAAAAAATCAGATGTACAATAAAATATTGTGCACCTATTATAAAAGCTACCCTGTAATGAATGAATGTCATTTATACTTTATTGATAAAAGTTACCCAAAATAGTCTACAAGTTATCCTAAATTCAATTCAAGTAATCGGTTGAATACAAAAGTTTTTGATAAAGATACAAAATAGTGTAAAAATTACTTTTATCGTTTGTTGTACTTCTTGACAAATACTGAATGCTGAGCCGAAATGTTGTCATGGAAAAAAATACATAATCTTGAACAAAAATTTAATTTTAAACGGCCTTTCATTTTCTATACAATGTCTTTTACAATGACCTTTTGTTTTTCTTGCATTAAAAATAATAATAATAATAAATAAATAAATAAAAAATGAACCAATAGCCAATCTAAAGAAGAATAAAAGTTAAATTGAATTAGACATTTGACGGAAAAAAGGATAGATATAAAATGTATTATAACTATTACTCGTGTTTTAAATTGTAATATTCGTATTAACAATGCTATTCTAGATATACAACAATCATGTGCAATAATTTATGTTGTTTTATATATAATAATACTTTTAATAACTATAATAGTATGTGTATATAATATAATATTTTTTATAATATAAAAAAGTATATGTATATAATATAATATTTTATAACACGTGTCCTCCATACCAAGTGTTTGGTTGTTGGTGTAGTGGTGATTGAGACTACACTTGGTAGGGAGGACCTGTGTTCGCTCCCCTGCAACAACAATCGGAAGGGGAGTGGAACCTAATAGCCTAAAAAAGATCCTCAAATCTGGATTAGCCCAAAGGGTGAACCGGATAGAACACCCCAAACTCAATGCATATATGACGGGAATTAACTTATCCTTTATCTATCTTATGCAAAACTCCAAAGTCTAATTTTTTTTTTTCAAAATATAATAATAACATTTGTAAATTTTTGTTAATATGAAAGATATAAACCTATGCTATTCAAAAAAAAAAAAAAAAGATATAAACCTATCAAAATGTATATATAGTTAAATTGTTTAATAATTTATATCGAATGCGTAATTTTATTAAAATTATTTACATGCAATTATTAATTGTGTTGGATGTGTGTGTAGCTATGCAATGTCCAAAACTTTAGTTGAGCGACTTTGATTTAGTGATTGTACGGTAAAAAGATATTGACTTCAATCTTGAAACCTAATAGTATAATAAATTCTAAATAGAAAAATTAAAACAAAAGGAAATGAAAATAGTAAATGGCTTTAAATATTGAAATAAACATAACCTTTTAAATCAATTTAGCGAATTCAAGAGACAATTTTAAGGCTTTTAAAATTAAATGGGGGGAAATATATAAATGTCCATGCACTATTATAAGAGTTTTGTTAACCATTTTATAATTAAGATAGGGATAAATCTTAGTAATATATACTCCGTATATTTTATTTATATAAAATTATCAGTATCCATACTTATATACGAAGTATTTGTATTGTATACTATATTTAATCAGCTGTTGGTTATATATATGACTATTATATAATATATAGTTTTTAGCACAATGCTTAACTTAGGAAAATATATGTTTTGGTAGGTCATATATAAGGTTATTATTGTGTCTATAGATTTAATGAGTGCGACGGATAAATAAAACATGTATATATTAGATTGATTGTAGCTATTGATGCGGATGGTATGATAAGAAAATTTTAGTTTTTCTCAACGGGAGATATAAATAAATTAGCCCACTTCTTATATAGCTATGTGGAGTATTATTCAATTATTTTTCAATTAATAAAATAACATTATAAAAAATTAAAAGAAATTCAAATAACATAAAATACTATTTAAATAACGTTCATTTAATATTTATTTTTTTTATTGACCATTAGTAACCAAGTCCTTTAATAGTAAATGAATTATCTTTATTTTTATTTTTATTTTTCCTACGGGTTTTATAATTTGATTTATAAACCGTGCATCGCACGAGCACTATGCTAGTGGTTTAATAAGAGAGGTGTCCACTGTCCAGTCACTAGGTTTTTCGCCTTCAAATTATGAATGAAGGAGCCATAGAGGGAAAAGGAGACGAGCAAGTGGTCGACATTGAGATAATAGCAGAGTTCACTTAAGGATTAAGGTAGATTTTTTAATGCTTTTCTCAGCCTGTGATTTCTGATGGTAATTTGTCATTATTCTCTATTACAATATTATAGAAACTGTAAGCGGAACGTTTCCTTAAATCCTAATATTATGATTAACTAACGCAATACTTTGTCGAAGGTAGTTTGTCTTGTCACTGTCATTGATATGCTCACGGATGATGGCAGTATAGTGCTGAGACTGATAACATTTCAACGTATTAGCGTGTTAAAGGGTGCTGTTAGTGTTGGCTGCTTTGATTATTAGCATTTTCAAGAGGGTGATGTAAATATTTCCGCCATTGTCGCCCGCTTTTGTTAATTAATACTTGTATGTGTTGTATAGTTTTTGGTACATGGCATATAAGATTGATCAAGTCTACAAGTTGCATTTCACAATTTTTTTGCGTTACTTTCTTTTTCATTAAAGAGACCAGTTATATTTAATAACTGGTCTTTTAAGTTATCTCACTTTTTTTTGTATAATTTTTTAATAATTTTTTTTCCCTTTTTATATCTTATATTTGTACAACCAATTTTAATATTTCCCCATAAAGCTTATCAATTAACTAAAAAATCATAAAGTTAATTCAATATAATAATTTTATTGTACCATTGGTTTATAACATGTTATTTGTAGTATTTTCGACTTGTAAAATTGAATTCTTAAGTATTGTATTTGGTTGTGATATGAATTTTTGTGTCCTATTTTTGGATTGAAATCAATTTGGTATATGTATATATACATACATATGTATGTATATATACATATATATGTATGTATATATACATATATATATATTTTATATATATAAGTTTTGGATTGAAATTAATTATGAACAAGACATGGAAAAAAAAATTGTACTTTCACAAATGATCAATAATTGATGGTGACACACTATCTCGGAAATCCTGGATCCGCCACTGTCCACAGTAAAGACAGAATTGAATTAATTTTTGGCTATGTTGTTGCTTCATTTGTTTATCTGTTTTTTTTAAGAAGGTATCTATGACTTATTCATTAGTCTAATTGTAAAGTATTGATTTTGACATTGGTTTGAAATATGAAATTGACCATAATATTGCATATCATTTCAGGTGACTTTGTGCTTCCAACATTATTGAAGTTTTTTAAGTGACGTAGTTGTTTGAATTTACAAGTCTTCCAAATTACTTGTGATTAATTTATAGGTTTTCTTAAATGGACTGCGCTATGATTTTATATTATGCTTCTGCCGTCTATGGTATGTTGCTCATCCTCTTAGTTGTAAGCTTCTAACATAATGTCATACTTCCGCCGTCTATGGCTATGATGTTCTTCCTTGTGTTAGTTGTTACGGAATATATATTGTCAAATTTCCCTCCGTTATTTAAAGTTCTTCCCACTTTTATGAACTCGGAGCAAGTTGAAAACTTAAAATGAATGATGACTCATCACTTCAATATGAAAAGCTTTTTGTTTTTTTAACGATTACTATGAACTATGGCACATTAGCACAATGATGTCGAAATGTTTTATTTCTCCCAGTTGTTGAAGAGTGTTCTCGTGAAGAAAAAAAAAACTATCATAGTCTAATTGCACTAGATTTTTTTTATTTTTTGTTTTGTTATTATTATTATCATCTTTATTTGGTATATAAGTCTTTAAGATGAAGGTGCTCTACCGGACCCTTAAAACATACATATTGAGAGACCATCTTGCTCAATACTTTCTTGAACAATTATTAGTTTGTTCAACTCAAAAATTAGTTGGAGTTGATTAATATGCTTGGCTTGTAGGATAGATGAGAAAAAAGTACTGAGTTTGTACAAATTTTGTTGGCCTACTTTTTGGATTGGACCTGACTCAAAAATTAGATGATTCGTATAGACTTTGTGCATTTTTTAGACCTGAAAATTAATTTTCGACCTAACCCGACTCAATCCCCTAACCCTGATCACTCATAAACAAATTTGACCAAAATATTGTGAAGCTTCATTTTGAAGGCTACAAAATTAAGATTTGATACTCTTTTTTTCTATTACTTGTGTAATGACCAAGTCAAAACGCTAATCACTATTTCAAACGCCACTACCAAATTAAGCCTTAGCATCCTCACTCTTAGAGGCTTAGGTCTATGTCCAACCTCTTTTTTTTTTTTTAAAAAAAAATTATTTATTTATATGTCCACGTAGTATAATAATAACAATAATAATAATAATAAAGATTACAGGTAACAACAATAATAAAGTTTGATTGTATTGAGGTTTAACTGGTGCAGACGCCTTATGGAAGCACATTTCCTAATCAACTTGGACATGTTGCCTAAATTCTATTTTATAAACTGCATGAACGAAGTTTATAATTTTTTTTTTTTGAAGACAAGTTTAATAATATTTAATAGTATGTATACGTTAAATAAAGTATAATTTCTCAATATTATTTTTTATTTTTGTGAGAAATATCACTAATTAATTGTTATTACATTGTAGTATGACATCATACAAACAACTTTTGTACCCTCCTAGGCAACAGGAAGAATAATGTGACATCATTTTTTTTAGTGC